TTATTTTGTACAAGTAATGAACTCAAAAAAAGAAAGTTTATATTTTGAATTACTTTTCAGGTATAGATTCATTCACATGGATTCAAGTTATAGTTTAATTGTTAGGGCTAATGATACTATTCAGTTACCTGAAGTTGATTTCAACAAGCTTCAAGCCTGTAACTTTATACTTGAAATTCTGAAGGCTTAACCACTAAGGCATCAATCCATACTTCAGAAAACATGAAATATCTAAGTGAGTGATTGAAGCTCAAAAAAAGTCAAAAACAGTGGAAAATAGGCTTGGAAACATTTCTATTTGAAAACGTATTGTCTAACTCAAACCATTTAATCAATTGATTTGATTGCATTGTGTTTGATATTGGAAAGCTATGAGAAAAACCCTACACATAAACCTATCCTGCGAGAAGACATTGATCAGAAAAATATATCAAAAGCTTCCATATAAGCATTGACTACTTGATGAATACAAATTCATCATTACAAGAATTTCATTAAAAGACAACTATCTCACCGATACCTTCAAAGTTATCGTAAATGACTTGCGAATACAAAATGGTAATAGAAATTACCAAAACCTTGTTTGTGCATTACACAATACCAATCTAGTAAAAATAAATCATATAAGAATGGTAAATTATTTCAATAAAACAATAAGGTGAAAAAATGTTAGTCAGTCACTCAGTCAATCAGTAACAACGTTGAGCTTCGTACGTACGTACATAAGTTCGAGTTGCCACACAACATTATCACAGAGATGCAGTTGTTCATTCAAATCCCGTAGTGGTAAAGGTTGTAAGAGTATAAGCAGTAGTCGGAAACATTAGGGCTTGAAGATATTATTCAAGGAGTATAATCCAGTGAAGTAAATTTGGAAAGAGAAAAATCAAAAGGACACGAAGAATTCAGAAGATTAGAATTTGGGAGAACATAAGAGTGGATGCACCTGCGCCATTGCAAACGATTTTGAGCCATGTCATTCAAGGTATCTAACCATCGGTTGCTATCATCTCGCGGTCCCCAACCAGGTAGTCTACACCTACCGATATGACTCAGACCACTTGTCAGTGACTTCATGGACTTGTGCCATGTTCTGGACTGGCTGCTCCTAGGTTTCTTCTAACCTACTCCTATACCAATGGACATCGCATGTCGAGACAGTTGGTAGTTGGGCATACGTAACACGTGTCCCAGCCATCTCAACTGATGAAGTTTCACTACTTCATCAATGGATTTGCCATCCTTACCTAGTACCCGTTTCCTAACAACTGAGTTACTTACTCGATGGTCCCAGGATATACGAGCAATGTTTCGAAGACACCTATGATCAAATACTAGTAACCTACGAATATCCTCCACTCGTACCAGCCATGTTTCACTGCCATAAAGTAGGACGGAACGAACTGCTGTGCAGTACACCCGCGTTTTGGTTGATAGACATTTATCTCGCCGACGCCATAAATGACGCAAGTTGGCAAGAGCTAGTCGAGCCTTTTATATTCGTGCTAAGATGTGTTAGTCAATGAAAAAAAATTACGCAACAACTAAGCAGTTCCACACAAAATGATACCAGAAACAAAAATTCCACAACTGATAATCAATAACAACATTATAGAATCAATCCATCATTGTCTTTAATAGATAGATAATAGTAAATGTTCGTTCATCTTTATTTTTTTCTTTTTCTACTACCAAAAACTTGACTAATACTGTTTAGATTTTTATTTCCATCCCATATTGTACTTGATTATTAATAGTCATAATTAAAATAAAAACCAAACTACCAATTGTTCATCAGTAGGAATGTGAATAAAAGTTGCTTTTTTTGTTGTCGAAATGAAACAAATTTGATTATTCAACATGGAGAAGAAAGTCCTATCAATATTTTCAGGCAATAAAATTAGTAACATCCACAGTAGCATGGTAAACTAGTGCAGTGCACTTTTTTTGACGTAGTTATATTTCGATTTTAAAATGTCAGGGATTTTTTTTCTTCCTCTTCCCCAATTAATTTCATAATTAAATTATGGTTAAGAAGGTGAAATGATGGGAATATCTTTACCATTGAACATCTATATTTCATGATTAGCATTGTATCTTTATTTACTTTGCTAATGTGTAAAGAGTAACCAATTACGATGACTGATTATTGATTAGTAACCGGTGTCATTTCTATATAATCCAAAGTATAAATTGAATTTTGTTAATCAATTTATACACGAGATCGGTTGGTCAACTGTAACATCATAATGTATGACACTACGTCAAATACCAGGGAGAGCATACATAGCATCAAGATTGCAAATAATGTCTTACTGGAGAGTGATGAATACCACGAAACACAACTCTAAGAAACCCCACTAATCACCTATCAACAGAGCGTATGTTTTTAAGCTGACAGGAAATCGTGAATATTTTAGTGAAACTAATCGTGCTTTTTAGAAGATTATCATTAACATTGCCGTGATGTTCTTAATAGTAATCAACTATTTACATGAAACTGATTCATTTGAACGTCTAAAAGAATTCTCACCAATCCGTTATTCCAGAGTTTGTTGAAGATAGGAAAGCCTGTGCTTGAACATCTTACAATAACACTTTTTCGCACTGTCTTTCGATCAGTATCGCGTCGCGATAATTTTCGAATTGATTAAATCCATTGAGTTGATAAATGTGTGGTTGATAATATCCGACTAGTACTGAGGATTAAAAAACATGACATCACTACTTAACTTGAAAATTTTAACCCTATGAGGTCAGCTGGAGCTTCAGATAGCTCAGCGGTAAAGCCTGTATCAAAGTTGGTTTGGATTCTATAGAGAGCATCGGTATCCTGAGTGCTGCAGATACTGTTTGCTACAGATCGGTTGAATTTTGGAATACTCAGTGAGTCACCCTACACATAGCTACTCAATTACGAAACATGACCTGTGAAATTCGAAAACATACATAACCTGGAAGTGTTTGCTTGTAGCGTATCTTCGAAACCTTGCTAGTGCCCCCAAATGTCCTGGTATGGCCGAGAATGGGGTGGACCCACCCTCCCTCTCGAAATGCTCTCACACGGCCATGCGTATACAGCCTCTCCTAGGAAAGTCCTACTCACTGAATTCTCGTGGTGGGTGTTGTTTACGAAAATGAGAGGACGAAAAGCGAATGTCCGGCGCTTTAACAGGAACCAAAACCAATGGTGCCCATGGGCTCCAGATCCTATGGGAACAAATGGCGTATGAACCAATCGTTGGTCACACGCTACCATGGGACTGCATCCCCTCACGATGCTCCACTGCCTTGTGGGTTAGACCTTTAGGTCAAAGGCTCCGAGTGTGGCCCCCTAAGAAAACCACGTGCTTTGGTCTGGACACCCGGGCAGTATCACAATCCACATACAAATATAATGATAATGACGAAATTTACTGAAAATGTTATTCTCGCTCCGATTTACAGTCAAACAATTCACATTATTATTATTACTATTATTTACCACGTCATTTATTCACTCTCTTTTATTCCCACTCTGTGTATCCATATTTCTCGACTTATACAGCAGCTCGTCTATGGTGAAAATTCGACTGTATCTAAATGTTCTCGGGTCACTGTCCGGTTGAAAATTATATGCTACCACCGAATATGAGTACTGAAGAAGTGTTTCTGAAACCACGTGCACCATTCAAACTGGCTGCCTTCGACGTTCCCACACTTATGCAGGCCGGACAACAGATAGGGCTGGCTATGTCTTTGGAAAGTCTTAATATCGACGTTTTTTGTCTATCCGAGACCCGTATTCAAGACTCTGATGAAGTACTACAATTTCGATCTCCATCTATCGCCTCGAAAAGCTTGTTCTATGTGCGCTTATCCGGGGACCCTGTGGCATCTTCGTCTGGTCTTGCTGGCGTTGGTGTCGCACTAAGCACTAGAGATGAGGCAGCACTAATCGTTTGGATCCCCATTAACAGTCGGTTATGTGTTGTAAGATTAGACAGTTCCATCAAAGTGCGAAGAAATCGGCGTGAGAAACGACGTCTTTTCGTCACCTCCGTCTATGCCCCGACGGATTGCAGCCCGGATGCAATCAAGGATGAGTTTTACCACCAGTTATCTGTTCTTCTCCAGAAAGTGCGTTCGACAGATATTGTAGTACTAGCCGGAGACTTGAATGCTCAGGTCGAGCGTCCAGGCACAGAAGAGAGTCGTTTAGATGGCCGATGGGGACTCGTTGGTCGCAGGTCAGATAATGGGGACCGTCTACTGCAACTTTGCACAGACCACAACCTGTTTCTGGCTAGCACTAACTTTCGGCACAGTCATCGCCGATTTGCCACCTGGCGTCCTCCCTCTGCATCCCAAGCCTGGACTCAGATTGATCACATCGCGATCAGCTTCCGCTGGCGTGGTTGTGTAAAAGACTGCCGCTCCTTTTGGAGTACCTATCTGGACTCTGACCATGCCTTGGTCTGCGCCAATCTTGCCATACTTTTCAGTGGACAACGAAGTGACCGCCAACAACGGATTGATGTTAGCAAGCTGGTTGCAACTTCTGTTGCAAGTAAGTATCAAACCGAGCTGAAGTAATTGCAAACAATTACAATAAATATGTAATCCCTTTATCAATTATAGATTTGTGTAAATAGTATTGAGCCATATTTCGATTATATGAAAGCCAGAGGCATTATCCAATAATTCAAAGAGGTAGATGGAGTGAGTTTAAAACCTGAAAAATATTGATTTCTTCAACAAGCAAATCATGCTATGCACCGATAAACAAATGACATAGGTCCATTTGATCTTCAGTCAAGGAAGATTATTAAAACATTCATAATTAATTCTTTGTTCTGACATTCATAACTCAAAAGCTAAGCGAATAATGAATTGAACTTTAAGGAATTCACTTTAAAGTGAATAATAACTAATCAAATTAAGGTAGGTACATTTAGATGACAAGAAAACCTATGACTTAGATTATATCGCTAATCCAAAAATATAACTAACTAGTAGGTATAAACAATGCACAATTATTTGTATCATTTTTCAAATCATCATAACTATTTATAAAATGCTATTTTTTGATTAACAACAACAACAATTAAAACAAAACAAATAAAGGTATTCGTTTCTATAAAGACTATGCATTCACTTTAATTTTAAAACACAAAAGGCAAACAACAACAACAAAGAAAAGAGAATCAAATCAAATAATGAGTAGTAGAACAAAACAAAACATCAGTGACAATATTGCAAATTTATATTTTACAGGGAATAATAATTAATTGATCAAAAAAAATTTTTTTTTATTTGGTTGCTATACACAAAATAAAATAAAATAATTTTAAATGATTGAAAATTGAAAAGAAATTGAACAAACAGAATGGATGATAAGAATAGCAAAATAGTGAGAGAGAGAGAGAGAGAGAAGGAAAGAAAAACATACAGTAATAGTAGTATATAGTGTAATTTGTAAGTGTGGATATCCATTAGTTGTAAAAAATAAAAACAAACAACAACAACAACAGGAAATAACCAAATGGAATTTTACAAGGAAATATACATAATTAAAATAAGATTAACAACAGTATATGAATAAAGAAATAGATGTAAATGATTTTGAAATGCAGGTATTTTTAATTAAAAATGCAGAATGTAAATAAAACCCCAATAAACTGAACACACATACAAACACACACACAAGATGAGATGAAATGCAGAAACTTAAAAATAGCTAGAACAGATAAGATCAAAAACCTGAAAGGTGTTTTCTTCTCTAAAAAATAAAATTACTTTTCCTTATAAAAGAATTATAATGATATCGATGTAAGAAACAATGATACATTTTAACAAATGAGATATTCAATGCCAACATTTTGTTTAGTTTTGCTTTTTTGTGAAGGAGAAAAACGACATATATATACACAAACATACAGACTATACACCTTCAGTTTGATTAACTGACAGTAATTAGATGAAAGAGGATTGGTAAAAGCATATAGAGATTTGTTATTTTAAACATTTGTTTGTGTTCGTTGATCATAAGTGTCTAACAAGCTAGTACTATTATTGTTACTACTAATACTAATGCTATTGTCACCATTACTATTATTATTATTATTACTGTGATTATTCAAATCAAATGAGGATGAGTGAAAAAAACGAGGTTGCTGCTGTTGCGGTGTGTCGTCTAGACCACAAGAATCTGAAGATTTTCCGATAGAAGTATCTTGTAATGAATGATCATGATGATGATGTTGATGAAGATTATTATTATTATTGGCATAGGGCATACCGAATCGTATCGGATTTTGAATCGCTGCAGCAGCTGCCAATGAAGAATAATGACTAGCTGGATAATAGGCGTAAGATCGAGGTAAACGATATTGTGATACATTTGACAAACAATTGCCATTATTATGATTATTCATCATACATAAATTACGTTGTGGTGGTCCACCTAATGGTATATGATCTAACCGCATAGTCTCCGGTGATGTAAAACTAACACTACGATTAACAACACGTAAATCGGAATTCTTATGTTTTTGTTCATAGAAATTTAAATAATGTTGTATTTGTTCTTGTTCATAATAATAATTATCATTAGACAATAGATTAGATCGTGGATGACCAACAATTGTTTTGTTGTTATCACCGTTTAATGAATAATACTGATTATTTAACCAAGGAGTTAAATGTTCAAAATGACAATGATTCACTTCATCTGATAGATTTTTCCCTTCTGCAAATTTTGTTACTGGTTCATATGTTACATTGTGATTGCAGGAAAAAGCAAGAAATGATGAAGGACTACATATTAAAGGATTTGTTGATGTTTCATTCAAATTACTCCAATTCATTCCATTACTGTGATCTGATACTGTTATTCCAGTATTAGTAGACGTGGCACTACAATCATGATCAGTACGTATGCTACGTTTTTGAACATCTGTTGGAATATTGCCTACACCGTGGATGTGACCGCTTTGATGAGTGTAAACATTATTTTCCGGACAGAAATGTAAAGGACTAGCAAGATTATGCATAAAATAATTTGGCACAGATGGGAGAAAATTCGGTCTGACCAAATAGGGCTGAGACAGATCAGGTAAACCAACCTACACGAATAGATGTTTCGAAAATAAGATCACAATGATTTGTCATTTAGTTTCAGTGTGATTCATGAAGTAAATATGAATATATTAAAGATGCACACAACTGTCGTACTTATAAAAAATATATATACAATAACCGAAATAGCCAAATTCAATTGATATACTGTTTATAAATTGATTCACAACGTTTTTTTTATTTCTGATGCAGTAGTATGTCTAGGAGTGTTCAATACAACTGGTTTGCGAACATTAGTGGTTGACAAATTTACACACCAAATCTTTCAACCACCTCAATTTTAGACGACAAACAGTTCTACGATAGCTTCTCCGATAAAAAAGTAGTTTAAAGTCGAATACACAACCTATTAATTGAATTAATAAAAATAATATAGTTCTAATATTCCAGTCAGTAGAAAAGTTAAATTTTCTGACGTTTTGTGGCTCAGTGTAGGCCACATCTTTAGAGAATAAATAAATCAGTTAAATAAACCCAAGTTTGAATAGTACAAAAGGAACAAAGCAAGATTATTTGGTGCGATTAATCGAAAACAGGTTTGATCATATATTTTTGCTTCGTTCACTTTTACTAATTAAACTTGAGTTTATTTATTCTCTGACGAAGTGGCCTACACTGAGACAAAAAAACGCCATAAAATCTAGCTTTTCTATTTATTGGGATATTAAAACTATATCATTTTCATTATTAACAATCTACTAAATGTTCAATTTATTTGAAATTATCAAGTCAAATCTTGGTAATGACAACTACAAACTATTGATTGAATGTTCGTATTTTTCATTTACATTCCGTTCTTCATAATTATGAAGTAGACAACTATTACTCATAGATAAATTATCTTCAGTTTCGTGTTTTTTCCTGAGCCTCTGGATCATTACACTATTTCCATTTAACATTCTGTATATTTATTTTCTAGAAATGGGATTATATACACTATTATGACTTCAATCACTTCACTAAGTATCATGAACATTTCCTTTTAGTGTCCTGATCTGAAGTTCACTTCACTTGGTACCCACATACATGTATTATACGTTTTATGTTTTAACTAATTGACTGGTAGTTTTTCACTACATCATTCATTCTAATTACATTTCATGACACTTAAACGTTTTTCCAAGTCATACATGATGGACGTAATAAATAGTAAGCAATCTGTAAGAATGGTTTATGTGACAACAGCACAGAAACGAAAATAAAGTGAAATGACAATATAACAGACGAAAGGAGGAAAATATCTCACTTGATACGGTGTTAAATACGATGCATTTTGCCATGTTTTATAAATTTGTTGGTCTGCACTAGAATTCGATAAATGTAGTTGGGATGAACTCAATGGATAACTAGTGGGTTCTTTATGAGTAGGTGGAACAACTGTTTGAGACGATTCGGGAATGGACGATGAAGGGTTGGTATAACCAGTTGAAGTACTGTTTATTATATCACGACCAACAGACGATTCTGCTGTACTGAAAGACTCAGTAGTATTAAGAGTGTCCTCGTTTGGTGGATGTAGTTGTGAAAAAGGTGAAAATGAATGGCTTAGGGATGTGTTTGCTAGTGTCACACATGGTTTTTGCAATTTAGAACTACCTAAGTGACTTCCTTGATCTGATTGGCCAATATATGGAGGAGCTCTTGTTGAGGCGCTGTGTGACCTTTCTCTTTCACAAAACATAAAATTATTTCGAGGCACATGAAACATATAAGGAAATGCTTTTGGATCAAAAAATGATGGAGGGTTGTGGACCATTGGTAAAGGTGAATTAGACGAACCAACATAGTTAGTATGTGCAAAACAGGGGCAAATGTACATAGGGTTAGAACAGTTCATCGGTAGACCACACGGGACATAATAACTGTTGAAATTTGAAGGTAATTTATTGGAGAATCGGTTATCAGATGATTCAGGCACTGAAACATTACAACGACTGTTTCGATCATGCAAACTATTAATTGATCTATCTTCTGATAAACTAGTATGGGGTTCCTTTTCAAAAGATTCTACAGTTGGGACATCACTACATTTGCTAAGATTCAATGAAGCAAGATCTACTGCGCTTGTTACGATACCTACTTCTTGATGAATTTGATCATGTGAGCACATAGAGGAAACTAGATCACTTTGGATATATGAATCTGAATGTGGTGCAACTGCAGGATATAGGGTAACTGCAGCGGCCGCAGCTGCAGCAGCCGCGACTGCCGCCGCTGCAGCGGCAGTTCTACGCTCATCGAGTGCTGGCAGTTGAGAATAATAGAGTGAGTTTTGTACATTGTTCCAATCTGGTGTGATAAATGGGGCATAATAATCAGGGTAATAAAATAGAGGTAATGCGGGATAATGGGCAACTAAAGGATATTGACCAGTATGAAGGTATGTAGGAAAAATTTGAGATGTTGAACCCGGTAAAGTATGATATGCTGAATGATTAGTAGGGGAAAGAAATTCGGACGGTTGATTTGAGTGAGTAGTTGAAACATGTGCAGAAGAGTCACAAATTGAAGAAGAGATTGAATTAGGAGACATAAGATTACCACCCATTGCAATGCGAGATGAAGGTGGTATTTTAGGGGTTAGTTGATCACTTTTTTTAGGCAAATCAAAACAAGCCGGAAACACTTTAACTGGCTCACATTCTTCATGAGATAATTTGGACATAATACCATTTGATTTGTCAAGAGGAATGGCATTTAGAACAGCATCAGCTGATTCATAAGCTCGAGAAACATACAAGTGTTGAGGAGTTCGATTCTCATTCACTAAAATACTCTTATCTATTTCCGATCCACTGTTTAGATTTTCATTTCCCTTGCAATTAGAATTTAGATTACTATACTTGTTTTTATTAGATTTAGACAATATAATCCGTGATTCCTTCGATGTATTCTTACCACCAGATGTTGTATATGATGACAATTGTAAACATTTGCCAACAATTGATTGTTTTTCAAACTGCGGAAAATCTTGACGGTGAAGATGATTATGAGGCTCTAAATGAACACCGTTATTTCTTTCTTTAGCATGAAATCCATCAATTTCTGGACGATCTTCACCCTGTTGATGTTGAATTGAACTGTTGCTATTATTATTAGTATCATCATTATTACTATAAGCTTGATCACTTTCATGACGTCGATGGTAATTACTTGAAAGATCTTTCGGTGGGCTAGATTGTGAAGTTGATTCTGGTACTAAACGAATATTCGGAATAACGAAAATGGATAAAGCTAAACGAAAAAAAAAGAAGAATAACGTCAGTTGATACAGACATCATGAAACAAAATCAATCAAAATTAGTTATACGGGTTATTATCGGTTATAGTGACACAATGACAAAAATGTATTAGGCGTTTATGTATTTTCTAATTACGTAGTGTAGACAGAGATTAATATGTTGGAAAACATACATATATCATAGACAGAAAAAAAAGCTATTTAATTTCTGTTATGTTAAACGACAATTACAGCAACAGTAGGACAAATGACAGTAGACATATCTATTACGAACAAACAATATAATGTAAACCTCTGGATTATTATTTGATTTAATGGGAAGAATAATGAGGAAGTATAAATTTCGAGATTATAATAGGAAGGACTTTTATTCAGATTTCTATTGATTAATTAATAGACACTTGTATTGTTGTATATATAGATTCAACTATTTTTAAACTTTCGTTTAATCCATAACTCCTTGTCAAATATTTCGTTATTCCAGAGTTTACACGAATCAACTTTTCCATCATTACTCACTTATCACTAAGTTAGATAAACATAATTCTCTAATTCTGTTTCTATGTGGTCAGACGCTTCAAGCGCATTATTGCGTCAGCGTCGAGTCATGGTTGAGTACAAAAAAAACTGAAGACCATGAGGTTTGTTCCCGGTGCAGTCGTGGTAGCGCACTGATGAGGAGCTCCACAATAGGAAGAAGCAGCTATTTAGTGCTTCAATTGTTATCTAACTTTGATCGGTTTATAATGTCAATGGCAATTAACAGACTTTACAAAACCCTAATAATAATAAAAACAAAATCAAGGAAAATGTCATTAAAAAAATTTCCAGAAACAAAACGAAAAAAATTAAACTTAAAACTTACTATCTGGAAGACAAGCAAGTTGGGCAATAGGTAAATAATTAGAGAAATATGCACTACGCATAGCAGCTCGTGCACTAATTCGCTTGGATGGTTGAAGTTGTAAAAATTGTAATGCTAATAACTCTGCATGTGGCGCACGACTAAGACGAGATATAACCCTGTGTAAAGGGCGATTAGGATAGAAATGTAAACGTCTTTGCTTTTGATCATTATCAGCAGATTTACGTGCACGTTCGTCACATTCATTATTGCCAACAGTTAAACCTGATGATGCACTTTTTGTTCGTTGAATAGTTGAATTAATATTTAAATCACCTAACAATGTTTTATATTTAGGTAATTTAGATACACCGGGCCAAGTTTCTTCATTTGGTGTACCCATAATCTAAGAGAGAGATGTATAATAAGCAGAAAATAAGGAAGACTTTGCTGTTGTTGACATTCGACAAACCATGTCGAAAATTTTTTATTGCTACAAAACACATTTCTGTAGAATTTACACAACTTTTAAGCATAAATAGCTACACAACACAATTTACACTACATTAATATTCTAACTCGTTCATATTGGTTTTTTAAATATTCTACTTGGCGTTTAGGACTAGAATTGATTACTCTTTCTCTCTCTCTCAAGCATCCCATTGCACAAGCCAGAGGATATCTGGACACAGTAGCTAAGTGGGTAATCTGAAGTGAACAATACAAGGTTCGAACCCCTCAGTGAACACCAAACGGTGATATCTAACTGACAAGTCCTACATGAGAAGGAACGCGAGGCCTGGATTCCACAGCTAATCGCCATCCATTTCTGTCTATAATTCTAACTCATATCAAAGTAGATTTTGAATTAAAGACTAATACTACTTATTTTAAAGGTTCTCAAGCATTTCAACTGATACATTAGCTCTTATATAACTCATTCTACCTACCGACACAATTGTGTGGTTAGCTTTGGGCTATACTTTATTTGTATTACTGCTAGTAATAATATCAAATGTGTGGGGCCGAACCATGCAACGAAGTGCTCATAAGTCAATTCGTTAATAGTTATTCTACTGTTTAATGTTTCTTGATTTCAAACTTAGACTTGTAAGCTATTAATATTTGACCACAGATGTCTTAGATATGTTACTCACAACTGCTGGGATCACTGGGTTAGTAATAGTGAGGTTAGACACAAGTTATTAAGGAATGATGGTAAATCAGTTGATGAAGTTGTGAGTTTTCATCGACCGGGATGATTAGGCCAGGTGTTACGTATGCCTGAACACTGATTACCACGACGCGCGGTGTTGACTTGCGTTGGAGACGGTCGGAAGAAAATAAGGGACAGCCAATCAAAACGTGGCATCAGTGCTTCGAGTCAATAACTTGTTGTCTGACCCATGCTGGTAGATGCAGACTACTTGGTTGGGGTGAGCAGATAGTAGTCGAGAAGTTCGTGTATCTAGGTAGCTGCATAAGTGCTGGTGGTGGCGTTAGTGATGAGATCAATGCACATATAGTGAAAGCTAGAGTGGCTTATGCCGATCTGGGCCATCTTTGGCGCCTTCATCATGTTAGTCTGGCTGTAAAAGGTCGGATCTACAACGCCTCGGTGAGAGCAGTTTTGCTCTATGCTTGTGAAACCTGGCCTCTCCGAGTTGAGGATATAGACGACTCTCTGTGTTCGATCATCGTTGTCTCCGAAGGATTGCTCACACCCAGTGGCAACACCATGTTAGTAATGCAGAGGTTATTATTATTATTAGCATTTCCTTCGCCTTGCTGTGCCGTTATGCGATTTGGCTATACTTATAACTTGGTTGTCTGTGCTATCCGCTAATAGACTGAGGTTGCCGCTTCTTATTGCCTTCTGATTTCAAACACCGTTGAGATTTATATAATAACGGTTATCAAGGCGATTGATTAACGAAACTAAGCCACTACAAACACGTCAGAACAAGTGAAATAAACAAATGACGTCGTTTAGTGAAAGATACAGACTAAACAAGATTTCCATTAGAATGACAAAGATAAAATATGAATATATGAATGATGATGCAACTCATCCTTTTTTAAAAACTATTTCACATGAAGTTTCTAACCAATGATAACAATCATTTCATAAAATACACTATAGTCTATATGAATTAGATTGATCGACAACATAGCATAAACATTATGTCTATGCATTTTTCAAGTAACTTGTTTAAACATAATCGTTCTTAACAAACACTTTATTAAATCTGAAATAGTATTGACTGCCAATTGTTAATAAGGATATAAAAGTATTATTTACTTCTATCATTCAGTAAAAAAGAACCCAATAATAAAATGAATAAGTGAAATAAATTGATGATATTCTAAATCATAACTCATCATGTAGTAAAGATTTTTGTACATTCTTTTAAGCCACAACCTATATGTTAGAGTTAAAAATACTAACAGCCAATTACTCTAACCATGGTAGGTGTAGACCAGTTTAAAACTGTAAATTAGTGGCAAAAGTCAGACGACTTAAGGCACTGAGCCACCGGATTCACGAAGAATATAACACGAAAAGAAAATTAACGATTATAGCTAAGCATGAAACTGATATCAAGTGAAATATTTAGCATTTATAATTACCCCTGTTTCATGGCATGAATGATATATATATATATATATATATATATATATATATATATATATATATATATACCTTTAGCTGAGACATTTTAAATCTAAATGTTAACATCCCGATATTTTTAATAGGAGAAAAAATACAAGAAAATTAAATTGTACACAACTAACAACGTCAACATAGATGGATTGTAATAACTAACCCGAAAAATTTTATCAAGTTGATCCACTGAATCTTTTGAACCGGGAAATGTTGCCACTCCTGATATCATTTCCGTGAAAATACAACCAACACCCCTTGAAAATAAGCAAAAGATGATTTTAAGAAAATGATAATTAGATATTTTGAGGGAGTTTTACTGATTGGGAAAATTAATCGAGAAGATTAACATATTACTTAAAATTGATATCTAAATCACATTATTAAAAGTATTGTGTTTCAAACTCTTAAGAAAATTCAAATGTTCAATTGTTATGATTGATACCCACAGTAAAGACGAAAGGGTGTGGGTTTAATGAATAAAAGACCTAATTGATCAAGGAGAACGAGAAATAATATACGACGCAACATCAGCACGAATAACAAAATGAGATTAGGAAGAGTGGGTGTTGAGCTTCCAAACGGTTTTCATAACTCCAGACAAAATAATAAAATGAGTATGTATTATCGGATGCTGGTGCAGACCAACAATTTTATAAAACATATCAAGTGAGATATTTTCCTCCTTTCGTCTGTTATATTGTCATTTCACTTTATTTTCGTTTCTGTGCTGTTGTCACATAAACCATTCTTACAGATTGCTTACTATTTATTACGTCCATCATGTATGACTTGGAAAAACGTTTAAGTGTCATGAAATGTAATTAGAATGAATGATGTAGTGAAAAACTACCAGTCAATTAGTTAAAACATAAAACGTATAATACATGTATGTGGGTACCAAGTGAAGTGAACTTCAAATCAGAACAGTAAAAGAAAATGTTCATGATATTTAGTGAAGGGATTAAAGTAATAGACCTGGCTCTGGAGGATAAGTGAAATACAACAATGCTATGTTATGTGAAATGTAAAAGTGGTGTCTACTGATGTAACATGATCAACTACTAGTCACTAATATTGATGTGAATCGGTCAAACACAACAAACATTATGAGATATACAAGCAGAAAAGAAATGGTAAACTTTATTAGCTTCCCCTTTTACAATAACAATAAAATTTCTTATAATCTTAACTAGTTATCATGAAGAATATGTGTTGCGACATTTTAAACAGTATTGAAGAGTAACAATGTAGGATGTCTTTAAAAGAAAAAAACATTCATTTTAAGCAGAAATTATTTCAATAGTTAAGACCATGAGTCAATTGAAGCTAGATCACCAAGGAAAACCTGGAAGCACTGGCTCGCCGTTTCGTTTCGTTATGGGACTCCTCAGCAGTGCGGACCCACGAAGCCGCTTCGCGAGATTCGAAACCAGCTCCTATCAGTCTCACGCCAGGCGCTTAACCAACTAGACCACTGAGCCGACATCCAGCGGCGTTAATGTCTAAATCCAACTAATCCACGAAATTGAGTGACACATTCACCATTGTCATCAGTGAGTTACTACCTCACAACTGACCTGGTTGAACTCCACTGGTCACTGCTTCTCACTAGAACTCCAGGATATATCTCTTGAAGCCATTAACTAGTGAGCATATGTTGATTAGTATCAGAACGGGTTTTGTAGAGATTGTAGTAATTTCAACAGTTGAGATCATGAGTCAATTGAAGCTAGACCACCATGGAAAACCTATGAAGTTATGCAACTATCAGCCAATCGTAATAAATCAAGTCTATTGTAAATGCAAAATGTTTGCATATTAAAACAAAACAATAATTTCATACATTCTGATCAATTGATAAGTTTAGACGAAGGAAAAAGTAAAAAAATAGGTAGGATAACATGAATTCATCAAATCTTAATTTTTTTCTTATCAACTGTAAACAGTCTAAATATACATTTATAATATTATTATAAAAAGTTTTACAATGAATTTTAGTTTGGAACGACATAAGGAACAGGACAAGAAAACAGCATATTTAACATAAGATGTAGTTTAAACAAACCAAACGTGAATTAATAGGTTTTTGACGTCAATTTCAATTGTATATATGAATTTACATGTATTTATGGAAACAGGCACATAGAAATTAATAAAAGAATATACTCCTTGAAAGTTTGAAAATCAGTAAAGTATTTACAAATGTGAACACTATATATTTAATAGATAACGGATAGAAAGTGCACATTACAAAAGTGTTTAAAATAACTAAAATGCAGAGGCTACTGCCATCAACCGCTTTCAAATCAACTTTTTTATACAGAAAGAAATGTGGTAAACCTCCCGTTGACATGATAAAATAATTACATTATTTGAATACATGTCAATTACATAGTCCCTTTAATATATTTTAGATTTAAAAATAAATTCACTCACGATACTAACTTGAAGTTTGTGTTAACTACGTGGCTAGACTGTTACTCCTTTGTGAATAATTCAATTTTTATTCGGTATCACTATATTAACATTCATAACATAACACCGTTTTTATCTTTAATAAATATAAACCTGCATCCCAGAGTTGATGTTCCCACTCCTCATTTGTTATGTTGATACTAACTAAACTTTATTGATTATATGTAAAACTTTTTATAATAATATGAATATACGTTGTTTGCAGATAATGAGAAGCTATGAAATCTGAAATGAATTCATGCTGCTCTGTTGATCTTCTTTCTCTCTCGTTTTATTTACAACAATAATTACTATTGTTTCTTCAAACAAAAAGATTAAAGAAAATAAACTAGAAACAAACTTACCAAATATCTAATGAAGCAGTGTAAGATGTTGAACCAAGTAAAACATCCGGTGGACGATACCATAATGTAACAACTTCATGACTATAAGTTCGACTAGGTACAGATTTTGCTCTGGCCAAACCAAAATCGGCAAGTTTCAATTCGCCATGTATTGATATAAGTAAATTCTGTGGTTTTAAATCTCTATGCAATATATGTCGATCATGACAATAAGCTAAACCACGTAAAAGTTGATAAAGAAAAAGCTATAAGGAAAAAAAGAAAAAACATTCATCATATATATAGGTAAGACTGTTGATTACCCTGAAGAAGTCCAGACACGTATACTGGATGAAACAATGGAATCATGTAAATTCCAATCGCTGAGATTACCTCAAATATAATTAGTCACATATAGGACTATTAATAGTTTAGAATAATAACAAAAGCGAAATTGTAGGTAACAATGCCAAAGTTGGACTTCATGGTTTCAAATGAATTGAGAATTGGGTAGAAAGGCAATAACAATATTTATTGTTATATCCCAATCAATAGAAAAATTGTATTTATGGGACGTCGTGACTTAATGTAAGTCACCTCTTCAGAGTAAATAAATAACCGAATTAAATTAACACAGGTTTAAATGGTACGAAGGAAAACAAAACGTGGCATCAGTTCTTAAGTTCAATCTACTATCCAGTTAAGCACCATTAGTAGATACAGACTACCTTGTTGGGTTATGAATGTTTATTGTAAACAATGCTTGGAGATTTTAGTTGACAAAGAATCGGAATCATAATGACACAGATGCATTCACTATTTGCTTTTCATGAAATTCTGCGCTTCATTCAAACTTCTCGTATCATACTGCTTAAGAGTAAATGTTTTCCACCATAACTGACATTGTTACCACTTCTACTAGACATTTGACTTAATAACTTCATTTTGAAATATGGATAAGGAGTGGCAACTTGAAGACTAATGCACATCTATGTTAGATTTTAAGTTCTTTACGACAGACTGTTTGTAATGACGAATACTTTAAGAATTTATAAAATTGAATGAAACTAATCCCATTGATCTGAGTAAAAACCGATCTCTATTATCTATTTAGTGGTAGAAATTGAGTAATTCATTTTTTGCATTAAGTTATTCTATTTGAAGTCAAATATTTATAGATATACACAAAAAGGATACTATTTCATGTCATGATCTATTAACGAATTCATAATTTTTGAAGAAATACATGTTTTTCTACTACAACTACACGTAAAAATAATATCGACAATGATAAACTGTATGAGTACTTCATCGAGAAAATTATTCGGAAAAATTATCTGAACAATTTTAGTTTCTTTTCATAATTTAACTTGTTTACCATGTAGACGTTTATGTACTCAGCTTGAATTGTACAGTGTATGAGGTCTGAGTATACTGTAGTGAACGAGGACACAAGTGGGGGTAATTGAATCTGTTTGAATCAGTAACACACACTGCAATACTACAAGGTTTATCAAACCAAATTACACACATGGTCTACCGACCTACTTAAAGAACGAATTAAGAATTTTTAACACCTATTTCATATAGAATGAACAGCTTGGATGAAACTAGACGATTCAGATTTCACAGTCCACCTAGCCCTTCTATCACATACACATCAACAAATACAGGTGAAGACAGCCAGTCAAGCAGCATCAGCAGCCTCTACAGAAGTAGGCTTCAACATACACGAGAGAAAAACCAACATCCTGAAATTCAACACGGAGAACATTAACCAAACCAATCACACTTGATGGAGAAGCTTTGGAAAATGTGGAATCTTTCACGCACCTGGTCAGCATCATTTATGAATAAGGAGGATTCGATGCAGACTTAAAGGCGAGGATTGGAAAAGCAAACACAATACTCCTACAGTTGAGGAACATATGGAATCTTCAATAAAAACGTCGAGACAGTTCTAATGCATGGAGCTGAAACTCACAAAACTACCCTGACCATCATCAAAAGGTACAAGTATTTATAAACAATTCTCTACTCAAGGTACTTAGTGTCCGTTAACCTGAGATAGTATCAGCAACAGTCTATTGTGGAAGAGAACAAACCAGCTTTCATGTGAAAAAGAAATTAGGGAAAGACGATGGAGGTGGATTGGACTTTTGTTGAGGAAATCACCAAACTGTATCATGTGACAAGAGCTAACTTGGAATCCCGAAGACAAACGGAAAAGAGGAAGACCAAAAAAACACTGCGTCGGGAAGGCAAATGAATTGATATCACAGTTCATACTTGATAGATTAAATGCAATAAGAGGACTAAATATTAAGCAATAAAACATTAGCTGAAAATTTTTACTCATATTCATTGGGACGAACGCCCCATTCAACCATTACAATTCGACTTCACTAAACTTACTTACTGTCACGAGACTGCACTTAAACATGATTTCATAAAGATTATAGTCAGTCTTTACATTACACTAAAGACAATCTACGAAGTACTGAACAGTTGTCTCATCCCAGTACGGTAACTCTCAGTAGTGGGAACTGGGGATCGAACCCCCCTATACTAATAAAACAAATAATTATTCCAACAAAAAGTAAACCATAATACAAAGTAAACAGTTTGAAAATAAGAAAAAGTAAGCGGCAACATTTTGAACAACATGCACGGATTTCCATGAACTCAAGAACCGACTTTGGTTAGACCACTATAGAAAATCTGAGAGCACTGATCGGCTGTTTCTTTTTAGTATACAACTCGTCAGAATCGCGCATCCACGGCTCCGCACGCGGGAACCTAACCCGGGATCTTTGACCTCGTACGCGACTGCTTAACTTGCAGACCACTTAACCAGAATCCAACGGTGTTAACGTCTAACTGTGAACGTTCACAGAGCCCCATTCTAGAACGAAACAGTCGTACAGTGCTTCCAAGCTCTTAATAGAGGTCTAATATCGATCGGTTAATGATGTTAATGGAACTCAACAATCTACATAACCACATGCTGACAACATACACTTACTCGAACATTGTGCAGTTTAATACCACGTGGATGATTTTCAATGTATTTACTCAAATCAGATTGCTGAATAACAAAGACAGAAAAATGTAAACAAAATGAATACAAAAAATAGAGCCAGCCTCGATATTGCTTGAACTAAATTAAATGATAAAGAAGGTAGATGTGTACCATTTGGCATCAACAAGATAAAACATGACAAAAAATTCGTTAATATAAAAGTCAATACAAAAAGAAATGGCGCTTTGTTTAAATTCACAATTGCTATCAACAGTTTTCGATTGGACAGATAACCACTTTAAACAGAATTTTAGTACAATTTAATAGAAAATTTTCTCCATAGTCTTGTACATGTAAAACTAGATAATCATTAAGTGAGTTCATGGTAACTGCAATCAAATTTGGTTTATTTGATAATTTCGTTCAATAATTTCAAGAGGCTATTACCATTATTACCGGTTGCTGATGCAATATGTCTAGGCCGAAAACGTAGTAGACGTCTCGTTGTCATAATTAGAATCATTAAATTGAAATGATTTATTTTAAAAAAAGTTCTTAATTCTTTTTTTAACTACCAACTGACATTCGTTTGATAAATTACTTATGTCTAGACTCATTATGTAGGCTAGTTACGTAGCTTGTATGATGATAATCGGTAATCAAATCTCCCCTTAGGAAAACTGTATATGAGCAGATTTTTAACAAATACCCATCAAGCATGACAACTGCGCCGAGTAGCATATTTTTCGTCATTTCTGTGTCATATTTTGTACCAATTAGCAGATTGAAATCACGATCCATATGCTTCGGTTAGCTCACCAGGGTAGTATAACCTCCACACTAAGAGTATTGCTTTAAGTTATGTAAACGGATTTATACTCGGCAAATGAGTTAGCAGATAATAAATACTTTTTATCTATCTGTACAGAGTGACCACTGAGCAGAAATTTATATTGAAATCACTTGGTATTGTTTTACTTGAATCTTCCCATTGATGTTTTAGGACTGAAATTGATCAGTCTCTTATTGGCATATGTGCATACTGTGCGTATGCCTCGATATTGCTTTAATCAACAAGCATTATAAGCAAAGATGGATAGTGGCTAGCAATGGAATCCAGTATGCGCGTTTCGTCCTATATCGAAATAGTCTACTTATTAGGAATGAAAAATCCTGTTGAATAGCTTGTCGGTGCAACATGTCTAATTATGATACGGAATCCAGTTCAACAAGGATATATAAGTGCCATCTATTAAAAAATATAAGTCAAGCATAGAATTTCGCCGATTGTTCACAATCACTTTACAGAATATTTCGCTACATTAGATTAACACGTCCAACTTGTGTACTAATTCATGTATAAAGCTGAACGAAGCCAGAACAACAATTTAGGCAAAATAATATGAATGTAACATTTATATTTTTAGATGGTGGATTTTGTGCAGATGGTGTTGTTCAGAAGAACGATGAAAGCTTCATGACCAAACCATCCAGCTCAGAGAACAAAACTCCATCAGTATTATATATATCACTTAATAAAAGCATACTAACATGTAAGTTAGGACGAATTTTTACCTACGTGCTTACTGAATACCAAATGAGAAGTTCGACTAAAGGGAAGAGAGTTGAAAGTCCAGTTTAAATAACAGAATAGAAAAATTACAAAATAATTATACTATCTAATTTTTCCTTGAAAATTACATAAGAAATAAAGTGTTATTTCTATGCGAAAACTGAAAAGAATTGTAAAAAAATAATTGGGGAAAATCTCATTGTACACCTTCTACAACCACCTCCAGTCACATATGTGTACATTTCTATGAACGGTACAAAATCGAATTTCTTTTTAAAGACAGATGTTTCGTGATGATAATTTTTAGAAAAAATTAATTATTGCGTTTTATTTTAATAAAGGTAAGAAAGAATTGCTTTTCAAATAGCACAAGAAAAGAAGAAAAAGAAATCGATAACAATAGGAAAAAAGATGGTATATCAACACTAACAGTTGAATCATTTCAAAAATAAGGAGCCATCTACACATTTACATAAACGATAGTTAGTTTTAATGAATTAGGGAATATATATATATATATATATATATATATATATATATATATATATATATATATATATATATATATATATATATATATAGTGAAATAAAGAAGAATGAACATTGATTTACATTTGATCAATGATTCAAATCAATCCAGATTGGTTATTATTAAGCAAACTATAGTCGAACACATGTGAAGATCTGGAATAACTAACAATTTTTTTACTCATAAAATTTCCTGATTATATGAACTATATTGCTGTAAGAAGAACAGTAATGTTCTCAAAGATAAATTTTACTGAATAACATTTCTGTACCACCTTTATAGAGAATTGAAAGGAAGGCCCAGGACAAAGTAGGTTGGAGAATGCTGGTCGGCGGCCTATGCTCCATTAGGAATAGCAGGCATAGGTAAGTAAGTAAAGTAGGTTTATAGAGAATAAGAAAAAAATTGTTATAACTGATACTCATTGAAGTAAATCAATCGATTAGAAACAAGGATGTCAAGACAAAAATTAGTAATACACCCTTTACGTCGCCAGTACTTTATCTCAATTATTTTGCTTTCTTTTTAGTCAACCAACGCTAACAATATGAGGTAAATAAATATTACGCCTAGTCTTCTGAAAAGAAACATTATTTCATTAGCTCAGAGCTAAGTTGTGATTTTTTTACCAATTTTTTGGTGATTCCAAAACGAACTAGTCACTCGAATAAACTACAAAGGTAATGACATAGAAAATAATTCTATTCATTCTGTTAATTACTTATTGAATTATCTTACTTATTATTTTTAATGACTTATTATTACTAATACTGAACTAAAGTAATCCAATTTAATTTTATTTTCAAGAAAAAGAAACTAATTATGATAGTTATAATTATTTTCTAAATTGTTACAACGTAGTGAACACAATTAGTATATTCAATTATATTATACATTAAAGACTGATTAAAGAATTGAAAAAAGGATAATAATAGTAACCATTGTTTATAATCATCAAAGAGTGAACAATAAACAATTAATACTGTTTCACATTTTTTTCTGGAAGGACTCACATACAAGTGTACCATGTTAATTGATCATTGGGCAATGGCCCAATTACACGTTTGTTATAATTGAATACTAGAGACAACCGCTAATTTGTAACTATAATGGAATATCACTAATAAAGTCACGTACTAATTTTCCGAATAAGTAATCATAATAATCAGAATGGGTTCTTGTGGAGAGTTTAAGAAATCTCACAAGTTGAAATCATGAGTCAGTTGAAGCTAGACCACCATTGAAAACTCCTCAGCAGGAGGAGTCCCATACCAGGACGAAACAGCCGTCCAGTGCTTCCAGGTTTTCAATGGTGGTCTACCTTCAACTGACTCATGATTTCAACTTGTGAAATTTTTTAAACTCCACAAAAACCCATTCTGATTATAATCAACTGCTCACTAGTGACTGACTTCAGGAAAAACTCCTGGAGTTCTAGTGAGAAGCCGTTACCAGTGAAGTTCAACCGGTCTGTTGTGAGATAACAACTCACTGAAGACAATGGTGTACGGTGGCGCAACTTCGTGGATTGGTTGAAGTTAGACATTAACACCGTTGGATGCCGGCTCAGTGGTCTAGTGGTTAAGTGCTCGCGCTCGAAGCCAGTAGGTCCTGGGTTTGAGCCCCGCGTGGTGCGGGATCGTGGATGCGCACTGCTGAGGAGTCCCATACTTGGACGAAACGGCCGTCCAGTGCTTCCAGGTTTCCAATGGCGGTCTAGCTTCAACTGACTCATGATTTCAACTTGTGTAATCATAATAAATTGTCTGGCCTATAGTATTCGAGAGCCAAAGGACACTATAACACGAAATCATAGAAGAAATGTTATCCATTCCCTTATCTCAAAATTGCCCTTGACAATAAAAGAGGGAACACGGAAAGTATAATTACAACCCCGATAAACGATGACACATTATAAGAAACACCCAGTATACACAAAAAACTTTGAATCTCTCATGAGGAATCGTTAAAAAAGAGTAATGTTCACGGTGTCAAAAAGTAATTTTAGACAAATAAAATTTCTGAACAAAAAGCGAAAGTATAAAATGATCCAATATGGAAAAAATAAAACCCAACAAAGTATTCATTTCTTCAATTGCATTATTAATGATAAAATTATTATATATCTGGTATTAAACAAATCGTATACTAGGTACAACTACAGTAATAAACACAATCTGGTGAAGATGAAAAAAGTGACATTTACACTGAAAACCAAATTGACTTTATTATAACTTCAATATCGTTCAAGTCGATTGATTTTGTTATTATATATATATTTTTTTTGAAATTCTGGTTGGTAAACCACATTTTTTTTTATCTAAAAATAAGTAGTAAGTGAATAGATAAACGTTTTAAAATCACGAATACACACACAGAAACAAATGAACACTTGTGCAAATTATCTAAAAGATAATGATCAATGTTTTATGAGAAGGAATTGACAAATCACAATACTCTATGAAAACCTCAAACGTTCATATCAATGTCCTTTTAGTTAATTATTTTATTCGATTGGAACATTCTATATACAGATAATTTACTATTGATTAGAGACAAAACATGAAAAACACATTTCTACAAATTTCATGTAGAAAAAAGTAAAGCACCATTGAAGTGTATGATGATATTCATGATTACCACAGTAATTTAGGTATAAAAGAAGGTTAACAGAAAAGAATAAAGCAAAATATTGAATTAAACTATACATAACTGTGATATATGCTACTTATGTAGACAGATAGAAGTAGTATGTAGCACCAATCAGAGTGGAATGCCTAAGAGCAAAAGATTGAAACGAAAAGAAAAAAATCTAAAAGCAATCAGAATTACATCAGGAATGAAGGGACGATGAAGTTCGTCGGAGACAACTGATGGAAGATGTACAAATAGTATATTTAATATATGGTTTTCATAATTGATGAAGGCACTCTGTAATTTCGCCTAAAACAATAAACTGGTCTTTCCTATTTGAGTGCTCGTTCATTGTATAACTGTACCTACATATAGAAAAACAAAATTTCGTTGTATAAGTAACTTACCACAAATTCAAATATAAAATTCAATGTTTTCTTTGTATGTACAATATCGTGTAAAATCACTATATTGGCATGTCGTAAAGCTTTCAATAAGGAAGCTGTCAAAATGAAATCAGATAAAGAAACAAATTACATGATGAAAATGACACGTATTATATATATGTTACACTAAAAACTAAAAAATGTATACTATATTATAGATAAATATGTTCATATTCATTTATCCTTACACCCAATTTTTAATGCGACATATTTGGAAGAAGTAGGCAATGATAGATTAAAAGTCAACAGAGACCAATCAAGATCGAGGTCGATAGGACAAGCTGAGTTATATGTTGAGAAATCCGAACACTTCACTTCTACGTCAAGTCTGCACTGATGATGTTGTTCAGAAGAACAATGAAAACTACACAGCCAAGACAACCAGTTCAAAGAGAAAAACTTCAACTGAATGAATTAATTAATTAGTGTTTATCTTAAAATTTATGCCGAACTAAAAAATCATGGATTTTTTGTAGATATCAGGTAGAATATTATTGAGAAATTATGTAAATGACAACCATATCAAGAAAATCATAATTAAAAAACCCGAAACCTAATAGAACTAAAGTTTCCAATTATAACACAATTATTCATAGAAATGACGTAAACAAATGTAATCACATTAGATGGACAGTATTGAGAGAAATGATAAGAGGCATTAAAAAACAATCACGTTTTGTCCTATATGGGACTCATCAATTCGGTGTAATCCAATACAATTGTTGGTAATTATACTAATACTCAGAACAACCACTGTTCACTTTAAACAAGGTCGCATTACCGATCACCTGACTTGTAATTCAAATAGCTACTAACGTTTACAGCAGGTATAAATTTACACATAAGGGTCTGTAGGATTTCACTGTATACGTTATGAATCGAACTTGATCAATCTCCTTAATGGAAATATCGAGACAGTTCGCCCAGGATGCAAATATACCAATAGAGACAGCTGCATTACGGCCCTTAATATCAACAAAGGCCCTTAAAAAGAATGTTTTAGATGCTACATCATTTAATCAGATACCTGATCAAATAAATAAAGAATTTTGCGAATAATGGTATATGAATGCATGGAGTAAGTAAACATGACAAAACAACTAGAAATTATTGGTGATTATAAGCACCGAAGTTTCTCGTTGACCTTAAATATAGGTCATTAACAGGAAGAAATTTTTTTACTTAATTTACGATGCCATCAGTAAGTCAGATACAATTAACGATTCAATCCTCTAAGAATATAAGATTAAATAAATAAGTATTCTTGTGTATAACACTGTGGTAATTGTAGAGAAAATAATATTGATTATCCATAGTTTGATTCCGCATAGACTAAACATGACATTTTAAAGAAAACCAGACCAAATAACGCTGATCGAATCAAATTTCTATGAAAAAATATATATGCCATATTATTTTGGTAATCTATTTCAAAAATTAAGTTACTCGTTGCACAGGTATTCACGTATTAATGATATGGTACAATGATTGGTGAAAACAATTTTAGAAAAAACATTTCTTGTTGGCCACTTTCAAGTACGAAGTAGAATGAAGAATTAAGTTAACAAACATATAAGATGTTGTTTGTTATAAAATTTTGGAAAAAAAACAGATACTGGAAGTAAGTCAGCCATAATTAATGTCAAACTTAAAACATGACTGGATCGGTTAAAATTGAAACACTCTAGCAAAACAGTGATATAAAAATGTCAAGACAAATGTCAGAGTGGTAGTAGTAGTAGTAGTAGAGATAGTAGGAAGCATAACTTTCGAGATTATAATATGGAGGATTGTTATTCAGATTTCTATTGATTAATTAATAGACACTTGTATTGTTGTATATTTGGATTCAACTATTTCTAAACTTTTGTTTAAGCCATAACTCCTTGTCAAATATTTCGTTATTCCAGACTTTACATGAATCAACTATTCCACCATTACTCACTTATCACTAAGTTACATACACATAATAATTCTCTAATACTGTTTCTATGTGATCAGACATTTCAAGTGCATTATTGTGTCAGCTTTGAGTCATGGTTAAGTACAAAAGAGGACTGATCTGCTTCCTATCTTCATCAAACAATTGGTCATTTTGTTAGAAGGAGCACGAGAGTTATCAAGAGTTAAGGTCTTGGTTGTTGTTCATCAGTCGATATGGCAAATGGAAAACAGAGGATCACCGATTCTGTTGGTAATGTAGGCGGATCAATCGAATTAGAGAGTGATCACAAGACTGCAACTTTGTCATTACGGCTCCAATATAGCTCAAGGAATTTGTTCTCATTTCTTCCATGTGACACTCATGATGATATGTCATATTTAGTACACTGATACAGTTTATGTGATAAATTATGTTACTGTATATCAATGGTCAGGTAAAAGCTCATGAATTTAGCATTTTGATTCTTTTTCTGGTTTGTAGCAAATTAGCTAATGCTCCAAACTAGTAATTCTGTAATGGAGAATCGATTGTTCATACTGACGAGATACAGATTTAATTGTGTAGAACGATCTGATGAACAAGAGTTTCGCATAATAATAATAAAATTCTCTAGTCGAACCTTTGTACACAGTTGTCAAATAATCACAAAAAAAACAAAACAACAGAAACACCGATTTGAAAATACGTTTAATAAAACATTCTTATTTTGAAAAATGAGGACAACATCCCAAGGTTAGGAACATAAGCAACTTTGATTTACCCATAGTAATAGAAAGGGTCAATTATTTGTTATGCTTGTTCAATCGTGTGATTTATTTGTCAAACCTTTACTATTTTTTAGACAATTCTATTAACGTCACAACCTAAAGGAAAGTTCATTGATAAATTTTTCAAGAAGTGTATAATACCATGTCTTGATTGATTGTGATCAGTAACCATTATCTCATTGACTGTTCATTCTACATTTTGTCATACTTTATTCTCAATAGATGATAGGCTGATTGTATTTCAATATGTCTCTTGATTGCTGTATTCCGTAAATAACGAATTTCGAAAACCTTTCCAGTAGTATCACAGCACAAATTAGCTCCTTTCATTGAGATTATGTGGACATCTGATGGGACAGAAGGCTACTTTAAGATATGATCTATGCAAGTCAACCTAAGATTAGTTACTGTTAGTATGAGTGAAAATGGGATTTGTATAAGTTTTCTTTCTTTTAAATGGAAGGAATAAAAGATTTTTTAAAATGTCAACAAGCATTGATCAGTTTATGTATAAAATATTGGACAAGCAATTCATCTTGGTAGATCAATAGCATATACCTTTTCTAACCAATATTAAAACACATCAATCACACACTAAAAAAAAAACGCTGATACGTTTTAACTGACAGTTTTTCAGTTGTAAACTTAGTGTATTACTTTCTGTAAACTGCTGACACAATATAAGGAAAAAACAATAATAATAATGGTAATGATAAAATACACCAATACAACCTACTCAGGTGTTCATAAAACGAAGTAAAACATTAAAATTAAATGCCATTTTATGTAGTTTTGTTTGCTTTTTTGTTACAAAAAAAATACCCAGAGTAAAGTGGATGTGCGTAATTAAAACTGATACCAGTTATTATTATTTACTTAAAGAATAGGAAGTTGTATCGTTTCATATTTTATTTTTCTACAATACTCCAGCATCTCACTTTTCAATGTATAGTAATAGGTAGTATGAAATGATCTTAAGAATAAACAAAATGAATAGTTAACCAACAGCAAAGATATTACTTAGTGACTGTAGCGTTTACCTTCTCGAATAGCAGTGAACGGTAAGCCTTCTTCTGGATTTATACGTATTTCTTTGACAGCAACAGCACGACGCATTACGCTAAAGGATGGAAAAAAAAACCAAATTAACAATGTTTCAGAATAAACAGCAAGATAATGTATACTTGTGTTGGATGAAAACCAACTCATGAAACATAAAAAATATTGAATCTAACGGTGTAGCGATAGGTACTGGGTTCGAGTCCCAACTTGAAATTAGGACGTAGATAAATCCAACTGGAAATTCTCAAATAAGATAAAACACGTTTCGCGGGTGCCACTACTAATTATAATCTAAAAAACACTCATCTGATTATTATTATTGATTACTTACTGCAATTTAATCAATATACACAAAATCCCCTCATCAAACTATAGGGTTTCCGCAGTTCAGGTCAGTCAGCCATACTCAAAGTAGAGCCTAGCACAAAAGTGAGTTACCACAAATTACCGAAACACAACTGTATAGCGAAATGGCGCTAACTATGTAATAATGATATTTATCGGCTTACATATAGTGATGTAAGATAAACAGAATAATAATCTACTGATTAAAAATAAAAAGTTGAAAATTGTGCATTGACTTGATTTTCAAAAAGCAAACGAAGTGAATATATTCTAATGGAAACAGTGTAGAGATATCTAATGGTATGATAAAAATGAACTGTTCAGTTTGTAACATTGGGGGGGGGGGGCAATGTCAAAAGGATATGTGATATAAGTATTCACTTTGAATAACTTCATTCAAAGTGTCAATTACTACGAATTCATGTTCATCATTATTACTCTGAATAATACAACCTCAGAGAAGAAAAATGGTGAAAATAGTCTTTCCAACAATAGTATACCGATTTGAATTATGACAATCTCAAACGATAGTAGAATTTTGACATCATTAATAATTCACAAAAAGTTGTCAGGGAGTTTATTTAAAAAGTTAAAATGTTTGACATTTAATAAAACGGTTTTGTGAAGAGTTCGCACAAAATCAAAGTATTTTCTTTCATAAGCTGTAGTCATTTGTAGAAATCACGATAATCAAACAGTAATGAACTATTTTTATAACCTGTTTATAATGAGAACTATACTATTTTCTACTAAACACTAGAATAATAATAATAGTCGTATGCTCTCTAGAAGTTTGTTTCAGTATCGGTTGTTATAAATTTTAATAAGCCATGATCTGTCATGAATAACGACGAAGCATCACATCAATATAAATAAGGATGACAGTACGCTATATCAAAGATTGATTGGAATTAAAAAATATAAACCATTAGTAATCAACTCAACACGGGAATTGTAGACAAACATCAAAAGAATGAGTAGTGATTCGAAACAACTGAAAACAATTGCCCAGGACAGAGTTCGTTGTAGAATCCTGATGGGAGGCCTATGCTCCTTCACAAAGAATGCGTAATCAAATCAACATTCTAAATTTATTGTTCTCTATAAAGGACCTAAAATACTTGTATTTTCTTCTACCTGGTAATATTAGTATACAGCTGGCAAAGACTCTGTGATTTTTAACCACCGTGCAACCGACATCAGTTCGTAAAGAAACTGCTTTCAATTAGGTGATATATCACTAAACAATATGAGTAATTGTATTTTCATAATAATATTTTAACATCCACGAGTGAATTACAATTAAATGATTTAAAAGTCAGATATTTATACATGTCTGCTCCCAGTTTCTAATCATAAACATGAAACATTTATGTGCGGATTGAGACATTTTTGCATAATTATGAATTTTACAAGTTCTCAACTACAATCTTTCTGAACATTAAAATGAAATATTAGCTTCAAATTTGAATTACGGTAGATGTTAGTTACTCTTAACTATTTACAAATTCAAACCTCCTCTATATGTACAGAAACAATTTATTTTATCCTTGGACTTTCTTAAATAATCTTTAAGTTATTTTATAGCCTACGAAGTGTGATAATTTATTATTCTTTCCACATTAATTTACTCATTTCTTTGTTTACAATTACCATTCTGTTTAACTAAACCTTAATTTAATTGACGCTGTTTAATTTTTTTAAATTAAAATCTCTTGATAAGTAACATGTGTGACCAAATTGATTTAAATGTAAGATCATAATACATCATAAATCCATTCGGTGTTGTTTTACTTGTATCTTCCAAGTCTCATGTTTGAATATATGCATCCTGTGAGTATTGTCTCGATATAGCCTTAAATCACAAACGTTTTTTAAAAAAATGGATAGTGGCTAACAGTGGAATCCAGAACGCACGTTTCGTCCTATTTGGGACTCGTCAGCTCGATGTATTTACATTCCAGAGTTGATGTTCGCTCTGAGACTCGAACCCAGTAACGTTCGCTTCAAACACCATCGCGTCATCCACTTAGCTACTGAGTTCTGATAGCCACTTGCTTGTGCAATGGAGTGGAGTTTAATTCATTTGGTGTTGTTTACTTGTATATTCCCATTGTTGTTTAGGACTGAAATTAATCGGTCTCTTATTGGAATATGTGCATCCTGTGCGGATTGCCTCGATATAGCCTTTAGTCACAAGCTTTTTAAGCGAAGAACCGTAAACAAAAACTAACTATGTCTCCTTACTGTACTATCAGAATATTCAAAAATAGTTTTAAGAAATATTTTAAAGTTTGGACTAATACTTAAATATAGAACTACGTTAAAACAAAGATTTCATATTGAATATCCAATAAAAAAAGTTCATTATATTAGTCGACCTTCATAGTTAATTTCCAATATATTAAAAGAAAACTTGATTGATAGAATTCAATAACAATTAAGAATTAAAGAACATTGAAATTGATAAACACTACTTATTGAATATAACAGCAAGATGTCTCTACAAAGTTCAGATCAGAAAATAACCGCTAACGAAAGTACAAAACATGATATATGTAGAAACAGAGAGGTAAGAACGAAACTAGGAAAAAAAGATTTAGATAATTATATCACACTAAACACTAACTGAAACAATACTAATCAATTTATTGTTAGAGAAAAATAGAATTTTGATAACAATTGTTACCTTTATAAATCATAATAATAACAAGAAAAAGAACGCAATTTAAACATTAACTAAAAATAAAACTCTTATAATTAGTTCAATATCATTTTATTGTCGTATCAAGTCATATATAAATATATATGCTGTTGCCAAGGGTGCACAACTATAGAAAAGTATAAACTATAAAATACGTACATTTTTAAACTGTTGTTACAGATGATAATCAAAAAAATTTTCTATGATGGTAACAAATTTACTGATAGTAACAGATATATATATATATATATATTCAATTTACCCAGTCAAAAATATCCAGTAAATAGATTGTGAAAGTGCAGACTTCAAATTCATACGTATTAGTGGAAATTACACATACATTAAGCTACATTATGAATTGACTATAGTTTTGAATCTCTACTAAGGGATTTAAAGATAATTGATTATCTGTAGGTTTCCAGGTGATAATAACTAAAAAATTACCAATTACGGTAAAAACAGATATTTAGAGAATTCTATTTCCAAAATTATAACTCACTTAATCCTAACAGGATAAATAACTAGTCCACTTTCATTTATTAAATTCGACTTTATTGAGCTGTACCGATTACAGTTTAAATTAAAATTAAGATTTATCTAATAGAGTTCAAGTGAAGTTGCAATGAGGCTAGAAATAGAAACCAGGATACATGATTTGTCCTGTTAACGACTCATTAGCTGTATCTACCTGCAACCAAATCTTGATATTTACATTAAGACTCAAACCAATTGTCATTCAATCCAAATGCTACCATGTTACCCATTGAGCTACTGAGTTCAAAAATAGTCTTTACCTTTTGAAACGAGTATAGAATTGTAAGGGTTCGTAATTTCCTGTTGTTATCATTTAAGACGATGATTTATTTATCTGAATTCAGTATTTTAATGAACGACACCTCTCCATCCTGAACAACAATAATAATAATAATAATAATAATGGGCAATTACAAACTCTTACTCGAAAATCAAGTCAATTTTCAATATATATTAAATTGGTTGTGAAGTATTTTAATCCTTCAAAATAAAATATTTTATAATTTCAATGATAAATCTAATTTTCTTCCAACAAGTGATTACATTACCCAATGCCATAAAAAAAATTTAAAAAAAAATAAAACCACCTAACTATAATCATAGTTGAGAGGATAAACATTCATAAAAGCCAACCATATATCTAAGTGGTTTATAATAATAACTCAATTTGATGATAATTTAAAAATCATCTATTTCATTTAACGTAACTTCCAGTTGCTACACCATATATATATATATATATATATATATATATATATATATATATATATATATATATATATATATATATATATATATATATATATATATATATATATATGAATTACATAAATCTAATTTACTTATACAAAAAAAAAATTCTTTTTTCCCACCTTAATAAAATCATCATTAACACTAGAAAACAACTAACTGAATAGTTTATTTCTAATTATATAATCAGGTTTAAATCTCATGAGATCATAAATATTCAATAGAACACTATAACTAATCAAATACATTAGATACATAGAAATATTATGATATAATATGATTAATGAATTAATAATTAAACAACAATAATTTATGAATAGGAGAAATATTATTGAGTTTAATGGAAGCTAAGAATTAGGGAGATATCAAAATAATATAAGTGAATTATTTGTTATAAAAAAAAAGAAGCAAACTTTAAAATATTTATGCTAATCTATAAGAAGATCAATTCACTTGCTATTGTTTCACTTGAATCTTAAACATTGATGTTTAAGACTGCAATTGATCAGCGTATGTGCATAATGCGTTAATTTACAAGTATTATGAGCAAAGATGGATAGTGGTTAGCAGTGGAATCCAGTTTTATGCGCGTTTCGTCCTATTTCGGACTCGTCAGCAGGATGTACGTGCATCTCAGGGTTGATGTTTACTGCGGGACTCGAACCCAGTAACATTTGCTTCAAACACCATCAAGTTATCTTTGCTTATAATGCTTGTAAATTAAGGCAATATCAAGGCAATCCATACAGGATGCACATATTCCAATAAGCGATTAGATCCTCGTCACGTAACGTTTATCTAGGTAATCTATTCCACTATTATCATTGACTCATAAACTGCCTTGATTGGTTTATTAATTTCGTATATGCATATAAATATTACTGTATATTAGAGTAACGTCTGATGAGGATCTAATTGAAAACAATATTGTTCGCTTATATATATTGTTCTAAATACTGAATATGTCTGTAATCAATATAACTAGCATTTACAGAAGTTCATATCAAGTGAAGCAGTGTTGCCAGAGTTTACCTAGTCAAATATTCATGTGTATATTAATCACGTAATAACGGCAATACTCATTAGTTTAATCAATAGCAATTCAAAATAGAGTATTGCCACATGAATCAACATTACACTTAGTGCTAGCCTAATGTTCAACACATTTGACTTTCAGAAAAATGAGTTATGTCCGAAATAATTTATAACTCACCTCAGTTTGAATTAACCAGGTAATATCATTAGTCCTCAAAGCAAAGTTTATAAATGTAGGTATAGAGTTGTGCAGATTATTAAGCTTTATCGGAATTATGGAACCGATCAATGTTATATCACCACTCAAAACCTGGAAAATCCAAGTTAAACATCGACACCGATGGATGACATTTCAGTGATTTGGAGGTTAAACGTTTGCGCGCAAGATCGATGGTACTAGGTTCGATTTCTGCGTGCGAGGTCGTGGGTCTCAACTGCTGAAGAGTCTCATACGAGGACGAACCAGCTGTCCAATGCTTACAGGTTTCCAAAGGTTCCATCGGCTCATGATTTTAATTAAACTCAACAATCTCCGCAACCCTATGTTTCCAATTAACATATGCTCACTGGGGACTAGCTTCGAGAGGAATTTCACGGGCTTCCAGTGAGAAGCTGTGACCAGTGGATTTCAATCGTGTCGGACGAAAAACAGTTACACACAGAACACGATGGAAAATGTTCGCACAGTATCGTAAAATTAGATAAAAATTTTTGCTTGATAAATAAGTTACAGTCTATCCATTAACAACTATTGAACAAGAGAAATACGAAAATGTGTCTGCACTTAATATTAATTAACATATTTGATAATCAATTTGTGTTTTCACTTATTGATGTGAACAAAGAAACAAGAAGCCTTGAGAAACTACGGAAGTTAATTATGGAGGAAGTTATTTCATTTAATTCAAAGCTTTTATTCACAGTAATATTTATTTTTGTCCCTAGTCTTTTCTACAGATCATAAGCCTTCGTTTGATGTACGACTCACTGCCATAACCCTTTTTGTTCTAAAGCTATTGTAATTTAAACGCATTATTTTGTACTATATTTTCTACTTTAACTCCTAGTTTCGGACATGATTGTAATTTCCTAATTATTGTACGTTGTGGTCGGGTTAGTCATCTATTTATTCATGCATCTGTTTACATTGATCTGAAATCGTGGACCAGATCGGTATTGAGAATAAATCGAACAGTGTTCCAGTTGACTTGTCTTCTCTGACTCGCGTACTTGTCAACCAATCAGGCGATAGAATAGTTTTCTCAATTTTTGTTTAACTTCATCATAGACCTACTGATGGAAACAACATTCTCGTCTACTAAATTCTCGGGTATTGATCTCATACCAGAAGGTCCACTTATCGACTTAGAATACGCAGATGACATAGTCCTGTTTGGTAAAGACGCTGATAAAATGCAGTCTTCTGGTAGCACTAAACAACAATGCCAGAATGTTTGGGATGCACTTATCTCCCTCTAAATGCAAGTTGTTGCTTCAGGACTCGCCTCCGTCAACACCTGAACTAAGGATAGGGAGTGAAGTAGTCGAACGCGTTGACAACTTCACTTATTTTGGAAGTCTGGTCAGCCCTAGTATGTTGGTGTCTGACAGCACGGATTCGAAAAGCACGTTTGTCTTTTGCCAACTTACGTCACCTATGGCGAAGCCGAGATATCCTTTTATCAATAAAAGGAAGAGTATACTGCGCGGCAGTTCGTTCTGTTTTACTTTACGGCAGCGAAACATGGCCATTAAGAGTAGAAGACACCCGTAAGCTACTAGTATTTGACCACAGATGCCTTAGAAATATTGGATCATGAAGACGTCAACATCTGAAGGGAAGCACGGGATACAATGGACATCTAGGATGCAGTTGGACGATCTGAACTTCGCAGATGATCTGTCCCTTCTATCCCAAACGCAACAACAAATGCGGGAGAAGACGAACAGTGTAGCAGCAGCCTCAGGAGCAGTAGGTTTCAATATACACAAAGGGAAGAGCAAGATTCCCCGATACAACACAGTATGCACCAATCCAATCACAATTGACGGAGAAGATTTGGAAGATGTAAAAACCTTTACATATTTGGGCAGCATCATTGATGAACATGGTGGATCTGATGCAGATGTGAAAGCGCGGATCGGAAAAGCAAGAGCAGCGTATTTACAACTGAGAAATATATGGAACTCAAAACAACTGTCAACCAACACTAAGGTCAGGATTTTCAATACAAATGTCAAGACAGTTCTACTGTATACGGCGGAAACCTGGAGAACTACGAAAGCCATCATCCAGAAGATACAGGTGTTTATTAACAGTTGTCTACGCAAAATACTTCAGACCCGTTGGCCGGAAACTATTAGCAACAACGTACTGTGGGAGAGAACAAACCAGATCCCAGCGGAGGAAGAAATCAGGAAGAAGCGCTGGAAGTGAATAGGACACACATTGAGGAAAGAACCCAACTGCGTCACAAGACAAGCCCTCACATGGAATCCTCAAGGCCAAAGGAAAAGAGGAAGACCAAAGAACACGTTACGCCGGGAAATGGAGATAGACATGAGAAAAATGAACGAGAATTGGATGGAACTAGAAAAGAAGGCCCAGGACAGAGTGGGTTGGAGAATGCTGGTCGGCGACCTATGCTCCATTGGGAGTAACAGGCATAAGAAGAAGAAAAGAAGAAGCCTTAGAAATATTGCTGGCGTCTGCTGGGATCACCGGGTAAGTAATAGTGAGCTTAGATGCAGGGTATTAGAGAATGATGGTAAGCCAGTTGATGAAGTTGTGAATCATCATCGACTGAGATGATTGGGCCACGTGTTACGTATGCCTGTGCACCGATTACCGCGACGTGCAATGCTAACCGATGTGGGGGATGGTTCGAAGAAAGTTAGGGGCGGCCAAACCAAAACGTGGCATCAGTGCTTGAAGTCACTAACTTCGAGTCTGAGCCATGTTGGTAGATGCAGACTACTTGGTTGGGGTCCGCGTGACTTTCGTAACCAATGGTTGGAGACTCTTGGTGACATGGCTCAGAATCGATCACAATGGCGTCGGTGTGTATACTCTTTGTCTACCCTTAAACAATGAGACCAAAATTATTTCATATCTTTCTTTCTACGAACTAACTTTCTTCCTGTACTATATCCTTATATGCAATCTCTTCTTTATGTATTACACCATTGAGTTGATTGCTTCTATGAATTTGGTGTTCATCTTGCTAATGAGGTGTGGCAACTTGGGCCGATGCATATATGTACCTGGTCCGACGTTGTAACTGACTGACTTAAGATTAGACAAAGAGCGAATAAAACTATAACACTGTGACAGATTCTGTGCCATTTCAGCTAACATCAACGATTGGTAATGATAAGCGCTAGGATACCAATCGGATAGTTTCACCTGTAAACATGGCTCAATCCAACAGTCAATGAAGGTTCAATACAGCTCATACACAAGTTAGCAGATCATGCTCCTTTCCAATCTTTGAATTCTTATTAAATTGACAATAATTCTTCAGTATTTTTTCTGCAGCATTATTTATGATTCCTGGGAAAAGTTCTAAAATATTAACTAATAATATGGTTTATTAACCTACAACTATGAGTCTAAGGATATAAATTTATATAGATATAGGAAGAATAATTATAAAAATCATTCTAGTGAAGATATAAAACCTTCAAGATATGGATAATGCAAGTGAAATTTTCTCTAAAATATTCCAAACAAGTAGGTAATTATTTTTCTTCTGTCTAAGAAAATAAGATTGCTCTCAAAATTTGAAAACCGTAAAATAACTATAATTAATTTATTCATTCATATGTAAATTGGATACTTATGTGTTCACTATTATCACTGTTATTATTATTATTATTAAGTGAATTTGAGGGGAAATATAGGCAAGGGTATTAGTGAGATACGTGCCTAGCTATTGATTATCTCAATATGTTTAACCAATCAGTATAAATGATAGGTATAGATAGTCTGGGTAAAAATCATAATCTAAGTTTCGTGCTAGTTGGGATTAGTCAACAAGGTGTATCTATAATTTTCGGGAAACTACTGCATACTATGAGATTCCAACGTGAATCACCAAGCTTCACAGTATAAGATATTACCAAGATAATATTATGAAATGTAAGCACTCGATGCACGGCTTGCAGGTCTCGGGTTCGATCCGTGATGGGGTCGTAGATTTAAAGTGATGAGTCCAATACTGAAATAAAACAATCGTTCAGTGCTACCTGGTCTAACAAAAGTCAGTCCATGATGCAGACTAACTATAAGGTTTCAAGAATATTGACAATAATAGATGAAATAAATTTCATAATTAGGAAAAATATTGAATTTAAATTATCAAATACAAAGTATAACATTTAGTGAGATAAGTTATTGTTAAAGAAACAAGTTAGAAATGATAAAACTTTCTTACTGTGAATATCCTCTATATACAGTTGCATAAGAACCTTCTCCTAGAACATCTAACTTTTGATAAGAATCAACACAACCAAAACTACGTGATGAAGACGAACGATTATGAAGTATTCTATTAGGTGATTGTGAATGAGATTGCGGTGTACTATTTGTTGACGGAAGCATGTAATTTTCACTAGTTCGTTGTGATGTAACATACTTCCCATTAATATATTGCTGTGAATGTATTGACTTATTAGATGCAACCGGAGAACCATGTCGAAAAACACCATTGATAGTGGATGTAACATGCGTTATATCTTGTTGTGAAGGTGAAGATATCACATTTGGATCATGTATATTGAGTAAACCAGCCAAACGTAATTCTAAAATAAAATAAACCATTAAAAGAAACTAACTAATTCAATAGAAGAGGGTTTTGTGGAGAGCTTAGGAATTGCATTCATAACTCAATTGCAGCTAGACCACCATGGAAAACCTGGACAGTCTTACGCGCGAGACTGATAGGTCCTGGGTTCGAATTTCGCGGGGCGGGGTCGTGGATGCGTACTGCTGAGGAGTCCCGTACGAGGACGAGACGGTCGTTCATTGCTTCCAGGTCTTCCATGGTGATCTAGATTCAAATGACTCATAAATTCAACTATAATTCAATAGAATTTAATAATTAAATAACTCTGTTACGAACCTTTAAATTTGAATATTATTATCAGAAATTTTGTATGATACACAAGTTTAACAAGTAGGACATTTTAAAGACTTGAACACAAAATTTTGAAATTATGGAGTTGCATTAGAGGGGAAGATTTTAAAAAATACTGACCTTAAAAAAACAGCATTAGTTTATATGAATTAAACGATAAAATATTTTATAGCTGGGTATATTGTTTGATAGTAGCAGGCCATCGACAGAAAGCTTTCAATGCACAACTTTGGTTGTAAGCTTATGATATATATTCATGAAAAAGGTTCATCCACAATCTCGAAAAAGTTTATTGTTCATAGTAGCTGTGTTTCCTGCATAATCTAGTTAGGTGTTCCAGCAAAAGGTGACTATATGAAGTGCACCAATAAGTACATATAATAATTACAAGACAGTGTTAAATAACAATATATGTTAGTTAGTGTTTTCTACGCTTATGTTATGGTCATTTGTTATGTGATTTTGTGCAAAGAGTGACTGGAAGTAGTTCACAACTTTTTGTATACTTAATCGTGTTACTTGGTCAATCATTCAGTCAAAAACACCGAAGGATAGAATATAAATCTATGTTAGTCTAAGCAGTCACATTCCATAACACGTTATAGAAAAGAAGCTGACAACATGAAAAACCATAAGGTCAAAATCAATAATATCGAAAGTAAAGAAGAATATAACAGAAAAAATCATGTTAAAATTCAAGATCCAGATGAAAGTTTCTTTTTAAAAAAAACCGACCACACCTGAGCTCCTTTAATTGCTCTTCAATTGTGGTACCTAAGATCTTAAAAAGTATATATAATGATTATCTTAAAGATTTTAACGAAAAAGTCTGTGCTCTCTGTAAGAGAATTCGCAAACTAATGATATATTGTCTTTGAAAGCTAACAGTATTTCTCTGATCTACTATTATGTTAACCTAACGTTTTACGTCTGAATAGACGGTGGATGATCAAGTTTCTAACTACTACAGGTGATAATGGTTTCTAGATATATCGATCAAAATGTTATCTTTACGTAAGAAACAACGCTTAACCATAAGATTCATTATTCTGGTGACTTCATTATAAACAAGAAGTTTTTCAGAGATAACTGAAATCAAATACTAAAAATTCATATATGTAGTGAAATACCAAAAGTCATGTTTTGTCACAAAACTATCAAAAACTGTACATTAAATTAGCCCTTTAAAAGAAAGACATAGTGCCAAAGATCAAGTAAAGAAAATAACCATTAATCATGAATTAATCAAATTACCTTCAGAATGAGGCCGATTAAGAAAAGAACCTGGAGATATTTTCATTTTATTTACATCAGTATTGGATTTGGAATGTTTTGTTTTACGTGAACGTGATTTAGTTAAAGCAGTTTGTGTTTCCCCACTACCAGTATGACGGGTATTACGTAAAATATTACGATGTCCTTTCACTTGTTTCACGGTAGTTGGTCTAAAATAAAAAGAAGGAAACATGAATAAAACATGAAAATTTCAATCGGATTACAATAATAAAAGAGAAAAAACAAACAAATAAACAAGAAGCAATTTCTTAATTTATAACTGTATTTTTCTCCCTTTTTGTCATTCTGTTTCTGATTGTAACATATTTTAAAACCTGCTGTCTGTATTTTAACAACTATGATGGTTATGGAACATGTAACATATGATATCAATTTGATTCAGATTTATGAGGGTTTTTTTATAAAGAAATATGGCTTTTAAACAGATTACAGGATTAAATTACACAGACGAATAACATACAACATAAAATACACTTTAGGCTAATCAGGAGAAAAACTGCTGTCTATTTTAAAGAGAGGGAGATCACTGCCAACAAGCCCAAGTATTACACATAAATTGAAAAGTTTTACAGTACTATAAGGATTAACACAATATTATGGTTAATATTTAAAACTAATTACTTTTTTTACATGATTAATGCCTTAAAAGTATCGTAGTCTCCAAGTGTTATCAAATCATTTTGTCCAATCTCATATGACATTGTAAATCCGTACTGCTGAGTGTGATTTAGCAATAACCTTGTATTGTTCATTGGAATTGAGTGAATTACCAGTTCATGATGAACGAAGTTTATTAAAAACTAACGATTATGAAACAAAAAATTATTAAAAAGCGACGATTTTTCTTGTTTTACAGAAGTATATATATAATTCATTTTTGTTTACTATCTAGTTAGATATTCGTTGAAAGTCGGATGCATTAAGCAATGAATCACCATTTTGAACTGTATGAGATCTCCAGAAGAAGGTCAGCCCCAAGCAAGTTTGTAGGTAAACACTGGTGAGTGTCATACTATGTACAAAACAACTGTCCGGTACTGCTTGATTTCCAATGATTGCCCAGTTACAGTCAGTTCGTAACATAAACAATAAAATAACAGCTCTAGTTGAAATAGATAAAAAGTCAATATTAGATTGTACTGATGTAGGTCTCCTGTTAAAGGACTAAGTCATTATATTATAATTTTAAACCTGGTCTAATTGCATTTTATTGAGTATTGACTTTAACCAACTTGCTTTCTAATCTATGTTAAGATAAAATCAAAACATAACGAACAGTAATATAGATTGGGGTTATTTATACCTGTACACTTTTTCACACTTAAAGAGTAAAATCATCCGACATTATTTGAGAGCTTAGAGGACATATAAAGTAATTCAATAGACTGAAATCCAGAGAGATGTTTTTAACAATATAACTAAATAATGCAAACCAATTCTATAAATTTATTGTGCTAAATTATGTGTGTATGTAAGTACGAATATATGTTCTGGATTTTTCGTTGAAATATATAATGCGAAATACTTGCATAAAAGTTGCATACATAGTAAGAATATTACTCACGTTGTTGTGGTGGATGGATGATGTAACAGATGAGGTTTAACTACTATACTATTCCCGATAGCTGTAGCCGATAAGATGGAATTCCAAATTCCTGCTAATTTGGATGTAGAAGAAGAAACTGATCTTGGTCTAGGTCGTGAATGTGATCGATTATCAGAGTCATGTGCTACACACATAGAACTTAAAGGAGACTCATCATGAAAATCCCTTTTTAATTGACTTGATGAAACAAAATGACTATGAGCAGGATATATTGGACGGCTGAAACGTTTCCCACTATTACCATAAGGATTTTCTGAGTTTACATCTGTTTCAGGTTCAGATGAAATATGTGCGGGAGGTGTATAGGAGAATCTAGATCTTCTTTTGGACACTCGAAATCTGCTCAATTTAGTTGCTGGATTGTGTTTATTAGATGGTGGAGAAGATTTACTCATTCCACCAGTTAAATCCTCTGAATGTTGATGAGAAAGTGTATCTCGATTAATGTTTGAAGTTAAATATTCTTCACTGCCAGATCCTCTTATAACGGAAGTTGAAGCAAGAACACTACCAGCGGAATGATGCCAACGTGCACGAGCAATACGACGATAACTAGCTGATCTAGATGTACCAGCTCCTTGATTTGGATGTATTCGTCCCAATAAAATATCTAAAAAATGATAATTTTTAACGTAAAAATATCTGTCCAAAAACATTGTTCAAACTTATAAAACAAGGCTAAAAGCAACAGTATTTGTGTGAGGACTAGTTATGATGCTAACTGGTTTCCTAAACATATTCATATGAAACAGTTTTTTAAACTATGACTTAAAGCATGAAATTCATGTGTTTAAACCGATAACCCATAATCACATATAGGGAGATTAACATCAATAAATAGCTTTTTGAAGGTAAAAAAAATTACCTGATGGAGTGAAATTTTGTACATAATATATCATGGTAAGCAAGTGTAAAACAGTTAATAATGAAAGGGTGTGACAGTAAGAAAAAATTATACAACAAGGTGATAAATATCCTTGATTCATAAATAACAGTCCAATCTCATGTATATTGAAAACCATTTTAATATACATGGAAAATTGTTGTTTCTTCAACATTACAAAATAAATTTTAGGTGTAATGAAAAAATTTCAAAAAATATTTTCTACACAAACGTATATACAAACACACACACACACATACATACATACACAATAACCATGAGAAACAAGAAGTTTTGAAGTACTATGCATTCAATGAATCCATTTTTTTTTCAAGTTAACTAATTTACCTTTCTAGTTTGAATAAATGTGTAAATGAGACGAAAATCTAATGAATTATAGAAAAGTAAACAAATTGAAAAGAATGATTTGGTAATAATGACAGATAATTAACTTAAATTTTACATATAATCAAATAGTATTTACAGTAAATAGAATCAATATGACAAATTAAACAATGATTATTTATATACACTATGAATGAAAAACAATATTATTTAATGGATAATTAACCATGACCTTAAATATGCACAAAATAATGCTTCTTTCGATAAATCATAAATTTTAAAGAAAGATTTATCATAAATGTAATTTGAACATTTTATTCATACAAATTGAGTACGGGGAAATACTGATAGTTCGTAATAGCATTTTCAAACAAACCAATAGAAAATATTTATGTAATCAGTCAGTCAATCAGTAACAACGTAGAACTTCGTACGTACGTACATCAGTTCGAGTTGTCATACCACATTAGCACAGAGATGCAGTTGTCGATTCGAATTCCGTAGTAGTAGAGGTAGTAAAAGTATAAGCAGTAATCGGAAGCATTAGGGTTTGGAGATGTTATTTAAAGAGTATAATCCAGTTAAATAAATTTGTCAGCGACCTTATGGACTTGTGCCATGTTTTGTTCTGGACACCTTTAGCTTTCTTCCAACCTAATCCTACACCATGAAACATAGCTCATCGAGGCAGTCGGTGGTTGATCATACGTAACATGTGTCCCAGCCATCTCAACTAATGAAGTTTCACCACTTCATCAATCGATTTGCCATCCTTACCAAGTACCCGTTTCCTAACAACTGCGTCACTTACTCGATGGTCCCAGGATATACGAGCAATGTTCCGAAGACACCTATGATCAAGTACTCGTAACCTACGGATATCCTATACTCTTACCGGCCATGTTTCACTGCCATAAAGTAGGACGGAACGAACTGCTGAAAAGTAAACACGTCCTTTGGTCGATAGACGGATATCTCGCCTACGCCATATATGACACAAGTTGGCAAGAGCTAGTCGAGCCTTCTGTATCCGTGCTGAGATTTGTCACACACCAGACCACAAGGGCTGATGAGACTTCCAAGATAAGTGAAGCGGTCGACACGCTCAACTGCTTCATTAGTTCGGGTGTTTAGAACACATATTACATATTTATGTAATATATGTTCTAAACACAAAAGTATGATTCAAAACCAATTTAACTAGAAAAGTTTGTGTTTTATTTAAGACTTGTTGTTCATTTGAAAAGAATCGTATTCAAATTTGGTACGTGGCTAGCAGCGAAATCCCATATGGGCTTTACATTCTTATGGGTATCATCAGTTGGACGAAATGGCAACCTTCGATTCCACTTCTAGTCACGTACCAAATACGAAAATAGCATGTGACTAAATGTTATACCGTAGGTTAAACATATAACAACAGACACTGAACAACTGTAGTCTGAAATATCAACAACGGAAAAGTAAACGGTTATTTATCAGAAATACTAGCAGCTAAATCTTCATACACACATATATGGATTACAAAATAACAGGGAAAAAGAGCACCATAAAATAGGTAAATATTCACATGCTAATTCTTTTTAAAAGTATTTTTTTCACAAACACACACGTACATAAACTGTATTCTTTGTCTTGCACAAAAAAAAGGAGGGAAGCATTTACCAAGAGAAGAATATTAACTAATTATTTAATCTGGAGTCAGTAGTGTCTTAAACATTGTGATGGGTAAATATTCATATATATGAAACAACAACACCATACAATTGTGCTTTCATCTTAAATATAATGCGAGGGAGAGAATGAACATAGAAAAAAAATAGATTTGTAAAGTAATAACAATTTGTATGACAAATAAACTGCCAATCAACGTGCGACAAGAATTACATTACACTATAATAGAATATTTCTTTTTAAAAAAAAAGTGTATATTTTTTGTCGATTACCATTAAATTAGTTACTTTCTTTGTTGATTAATGAAACCTGATTAAAAAATTCTTATGTATTTGTGCACTTAGTTTCGGAAATAGACTTTGATTTGTGTGTGACAGTCAGTAGTAATTGACACTTGTTCAAATCGAAATAGAGACAATAATATTTGAACTTAGCTTAGAGTATGGTTGAAAATCAAGTGAATCGAATTCAAGTAACAATACTATTAGAGATAACAGGAATATTTATAGAAAAACACTAGCAGTCAAGTGCATAGATCTAGATCTGGTTAATTAAAAACAATACAACTTTGTAATTTATTATAAAAAGTGAAAAATATTCTATTCAGAGTAATACCATTTGAATACAAGATCTAATAATTAATAATCTACAACCTAACAGGTATCAAAGAAAATAAAATGAGCATACGGGATATCGATCAATAACACAATTGAAAGGGAAAAACGATAAAGGAATATTAATGATATAGTTACAAGTTGTCTATATAACTATGAGAAGTGCAATATAGAACTGTGCAAAACACGACAATTATGAACACAAACACAGTATAACTTACAAAAGTAGCCTAAAGTTAAGTGATAATTGAAACAAACCAAATATTAAACAACATTCCATAATGATATTTATATTGAAAACAATAAGATCGAACACTTAGGACGCACAAAATCCAAAGAAAAAAAAACGAGATGTTTTAGAACCTGTCAACTGTCACGACGAATTATTGGAAATCAATCAAAATTATTAATATAAATTATACTATGATTTTATCAGATTGAAGTAAATTTATTTATTTATTAAAACACATAAAATCTGGTGAGACTGGGAATCAAAAACGGGAATACATACACATAAAATATGGATAACACTGTGACGAAAAAGTAGTAAATTTTAAAAAAGCATAGTATATAACAGTAGAGATAGTTTAGGTGACAATACAAACGAGACAATTCAGATTTCGTTCTAGTTAAAGACATTATTCTCACATTTATGAATGCGTAAGAAAATTCTGGAAGGATGCCTACTAACTTATTTTCTGAACTAAGACTGTTAACCTTGGGAGAGAACAAACCAACTTTCAGCTGAAGAGGAATTTAGGAAAAGACTCTAGTAATGTATAGGACAGACATAGTGCAAATTATCAAACTGCATCACGAAGAAAATTCTACTTTGGAATCAATAAGGTAAAAGGAAAAAATGCAGTCAAAAGAACACATTTCATCGGGGATCAGAGGCGAACACAGGAGGAATGAATAGTCATTCGAAACAACTGGAAAGGATTGTCCAGGATAGAATTCGATGGAGCTAATGGGAGGCCTATGCTTCTCCACAAGGGGTAACAGGTGTAAGGAAGGAAGTAATGATAAAATAGATTATTTTGGATATCATTCTGAAAAACCAGGAAACCAGAAGATATTTGAAACTGAAAATTTGTTGTGAATGATTAGAATTAATGCACCCAGATATTGAGAATTTGAGTTTCAGAATCATGAATACAACACAAATATTTGTTAAAATAGTTGACACTTACCCTTGAAGCTACGAGCTAGGGAGGGACCCAGAGATGAATCACAAGTGACAGTATCTGGTGAATTTGTTGTGTTTACCCATGACAAAGGTGTTGAGTCGGTAATTGCTCTTGTAGTGTGAATCTGATTTCTCGGAGTTGATGAATGATCATATGACGTTAAGACTGTATCCGTATTAGTTGTTGGAGATGCTTGATTTGCAGGACTAAGCATTGTGCCAGAACAAAAAATTTGTTTCTGTCTAACAGAATGGTTTGCAGGAACATTTTGGTGTTGCATGTGCATGAGCCGTCTAGCACTAGGACCAGGACAACCTTGTCCACTGATACTACCACTAACTAAATTATTTACTTCATCCACACGAACACCTCTACTATCTTTCAAAACTGAACGGAAGTCATCCACCGTAAATTCAACATTGTGACCAAAAGAATAAAGAGGAACATCAGCAAACTCTCCACCTGACCCCAGATTTGTTGACGGTTCTAAAATCGAGGAGGTTGACAATGCGTATACATTCATTGAAGAGAAACTTCTAGGTGGAGCTCCAAGAGTTCCTGTTTGCTGAAAAATAAATGTAAATATTTTATGGTTAATGGTGCAGCACGCATATATATTTAAGAAGCAAAATTATCAAGAACACCAGCTAATTTGAACGAATAGGAAAAAATGAATTTTGAAAAAATATATCACAAATTTATAAAAATCCAAGAACAAATAACATAGAATCATTGATTGCCAACGAGAGTGATGGAATATGCTAGAATGATTTTGTCCTAGTCATGCATTCACTAGTCCATCATGACACCTCTGTTGGGGTCTCAGAGATGGCACAACCCAATGAATCGACACATTATTAAGGATGCTCAGAACAGAAGCCAGTGAAGACCCCATCATAGTTTACTCCTCATATTAGTGAAATGATACTCCTTATCTGAAGGAAGCTTTTCTTCGCCGTATTTAAACCTAACTGTATCTCGTATTATTTATTAGTGCTATTCGTTTATTTATCGACAATAATACCCTTATCTGCTTTACTTCTTCACAACATTGTCATTTCGCTTGTGTAGCTCATTTCGGTGCCGCATGGTACTAGAACTTATATGCTTTGAATAGATAAATACAATAAAACCAGGGACTCCTCAACAGTAAGCATCAATCACAACCTCATCAGAAATCAAAACCAAGACCGTTAGTAGTTTTTGTCACTTTTAAACTATACAAAGTTGATAACCGATAGTCCACATATTCAGCTTAAACAAATCAATCCCAATGGTAGATTACTGATCTCTGTAAATCTCTCAGAGTGAAAAAACACAATCTCACTTAGAAATTACTGTAAAAATTGAATACAATATAAATTTGATTGAATAATAAGTAAGGATTCAAAATTAGCTCTCCTATGCAGTTGAAATTACTCACCAGTTTACAAATAAAAATAGAAACAGCCCAAGCAACACATAAGTAATTAAAAACGGATAAATAATAATAGGCATTCGTTAAGGAATAGCACTACAGAATCAGATAAAATTAAAGAAAACTAGTTGTTTGAATTCGAGACACCTTAGTGATGTATGTACACGCAATTTTCCGTGAAATAATATCGAGCAACTTTAAATCTCAGAACAAGTATCATAATATTTATTCACCTGGTTGGAATCAAATGGTTCATATGACTCTATTCTGATGCAATGTGATTGGTAAATTTAATATGAATCATCATGAACATGAGTAAAATCCACACAAGTTAGTGGCAAACTAGAAGTTCAGGAAATCGTTTTGTAAAAGTTAGTAGCTTGTAAGAACAAGTTTATTATTACTAGTATCTACTAAGGTGACTTTATGAAGATCTTATAATTTTTGTTAGAAATTTTTCTCTTGATGAGCTCCTAACGACGGACTGAGAAGCAGTCGTCTAATGATCTTTGTTTTTAATGAACAATCAGTTAATATCTAAGTGTGTAATGGATATTAAATTTTTAATTAATATTGTTACGTTTTACCACATAACTTAATGAATACTTCAATTACTTATAAAAAATTGGTCTTAATAACATACAGTAATGAATAATTAATTAGAAGATAATGACGAAAAATTCAACAAAAGAAAAATATAGATCAAACTAATTTCTCACACACAAAAAGAAATACGAAACAGAACAGAACGAACGAAAAACTGATGAAAGTGAATCGAGAAAAAGTATTAATCATATGAAAGAATAGAAACAGGATATAAAGACAAAATAAATGATTAAAAAAAAACAAAGAATATATATAAGATTTATGGTTAATTAAATAGGTAGCTATGCCAGTTAATAATACTAAACACCAATCATTTCTATTCTATGTACACCGATAAATTTTCACTTTGATACCTGCTTTAATTCTGCTCCATATTACACTATATATTGATAAAATTAATGATGTAAAATACTCAAGTAAATAGGATTAGACTAGTTTGTTTTTTATAATTAGGTTATACACAGAATAAAAACCGGTACCAAAACATTAATGCATAACACTCAGCGGGTAAGAAAACAACTCGATCGTAATGCGACTTTTTTTAGCCTTATAATGAACATCTCAAGAAGAGACAAAAGTACATTTTGTTATCACTGATTATTATATTAGATAAAATAATAAGAATAATGTTAGTGCTATTGGAAAAATTCACTTTTCTTCAGTGTGCTCGGATGAGTTATAGCGATTAGAATTAATGCATCTTTTTACTAGGTCTTACTTTGTCTTATTACCGAGTCTGGATATAAAAGACTGGATTTATAATGCGTCGGCGAGAGTTGTTTTGCTCTATATTTGCGAAACCTGACCTCTCCGAGTTGACGATGTTAGACGACTCTGTGTTCAATCACTGTAGCTGATATCCAGCGGCAACACCATGTCAGTAATGCAGAGGTTCGACAACGTGTGTTCGGTAAAGTGACGACAGTTCAATGAGTATCATCATCATGAAACACTGATTTTGGTGGCTCGGATATGTAGTGGGAATGCCGTTGCAGTGAATTCCACATCATATATTATTTGCCGACGCTGAAACTGGTCGAAAAAAGCGGAGGTGGTCAGTTTATAGCATGTCGTGATATGAAAGAAAACTGTACAGGACTGGCTTTTATTGGTCCTTCATGATTTCCTGGTTCGGGTCATAAAGATGGTGCAACACAGTGACTTGAGATTAACAGAAAAGGTTCAGAATAAAAGCCAGTGGCGATCCTGCTATAAATTTCTTCTACTTTTTGAGTATGAGTGAGAGGAACGTCTTTAACTGAAAGAATTCTTTCTGGTTGCTTTTTTCTTAACTGAACTCCCTCTCCCATTATTATTACTTCACTCTCATACACCGTTTTCTGTTCATATTTGTTATACTCACCTTCCTTTCTACATCTTATTACAACCTCATTTCTATTATGTGATGCATATATATTTCGGTACCAATGTTTACGTGTTTAAATAATGATAATATAACTGACTGACTGACGAGTGTATCGGAATCGAGTGGTGGTGTTGGACTACTTTCGATCAAGGTGCAATACAGTTACTAGATTTAATTGGTTTATTTACGAAAATAAATTTATCCTTACGTCATTCGCATCAAACAGAAGCGAAATATTGAATGTCTAGATCTTCGGAAACAAAATCGTATGTACCTTACACATCACTTGGGTTTTAATTGTTCTCTGAATGAATTACAATGTCGAGACACTAGTTTATTTTATTCATGAAAGACACAATTAGAAACACAACTAGAGATAGTTTTTGATAAGACTGCAAGTGACTGGAATGGTTCAACATCTAAAAAATTACTTAACGATGTCACCGACGATAGAATGGCATAATATTAGTGACTGGTCAGTTGTCCAACATTTTGTATATCACTAAAATTGTTATTAATGAGAGCAATAACAATCCGACAAATTCAGTCTTATGAGAGAATCACGATCAGTAGTTTTACCTTAATTGTTAGTGGACTAAGGTTGATGTTAATGTTGAAGAGTCTATAAGTTCCCAAAATCAGAATTCTATTTAAAACAACTCAATTTTATTTGAGGAATCATATAGCCATATGCTATTCAACTAGACCACCAAACTATACCATAATTACACTAATTTAGTCAAAATATTTCCCTAAGAATGAAGGGAAGTTTTCCAGACGTTCAATGGCACTCGAAAGTTAAATGTTTGGAGATATGTTACGAAAGACCCAGGACGAGGTTTCGTTCTAGTTGATACTCGTCAGTAAACAGTATTAGCAATTTTGAGGAAACGGATGTTCCCTATGGATATATTCAAGGTCAATTTACTCAGCTTCGGTCCAAGACGTTATCATTAAGTTATTCAGCTAACCACTGACCACCTGTAGAATATTCACAAAAGACTGATTAATTAAAAATGACTTGTGACGTGTTTGTTTGGGCTTTAGTGCTGACCAAATTATTAAGTTCAAGATAAAATGTGGTCACTAGTCTGAGTGACTCGACACTTTACTATACAAATATGACATTGGTTACCAATCTGCAACAAAACAATTACAACCAATAGCATCTGACATAATTCGTGGAAATATCCTAATTTGGTAAGATTAAGCAACAAACTTTCATTGACGTCAATGTGATTAACTTAAACCAAAAAGGTATATGTTGTCTATCTTGTATTTAGTTGAATGAAGGTAATACTGACTATTTCACAGAATAAAGTTGATAATGTTCATTCACCTATGAAAATGGATTAATACAATCGAGATAAATATTTGGATTTCCACTAAAAATTGAAAGCCCATAATGAATTTAACAACTGCAGTAGAAAGTAGTGACATTTATATATTCTTGCACACACGCACATACACATGCACACATACATTTTGTTTGCATTTCCATCAACTAACTGCTCTCAGGCAAAAAGTAATGATAAACTTCTACGAAACTGAGAGAAAATTCGCCACATAAAATGGATAGATGAGTCATCACAGTGTGTTTTCGGTACGAATCATAGAAACAAAACAAAAAATAAAAAACTGATGTAGTAAAAGACAGATAGGGGAGAACCAACTAGATACTTTTTCTAGAATATGCGACAGACAGTTGTTCATACAATTGGTGTAGGGTTAAGAATCTAAAATATTCACGGCAAATATACTTACAATTACTAACAATCCCTTAAACAATTAAACATAGTGCGAAGTACAAAATCCATACGAACACAAGTGACCGCAATATACAAAAGAAAATAAGACGAACTGCTTTGTTTCTATTATAGTTGAATATCAACAGCTTTATAACCCGGATTTAGCCAAGTAAATCGAAATCTCAACCCTATACTCTTCAACTGAACTTTTACAATGCTTGTATCAACTCGTGATACTGTAAACTATTGAGACCAAAGGTTTATTCGCCGCTCTAGCAGACGATGATATTTAAGAAAAAGGCATTTTTTAGAATATCCTTGAGAAGCAGCCATTCAGGATGGAGACTTCATATCTTTTCTTACTTCTGAAGTTATTGATGTCTATAAAGTCAATGAAAAATAGAATATTAATTGAGAGATAACATAAA